AAAACTGAAAGAGGAAATCGACAACACTACTATAGTGCTGGGAGACCTCAATACACCCCTCTCAAGAAAAGATAGAACTACCAGAAAAAAACTCAAAATTTGTTATTAATTTCAGTGAAAATTTACAGAGGCTTTGGATTTCCATTCATTCATTGTTGTAGTTAAACCTTAATAGTATCTGAAACAAATTAAAAGGTATTTTAATTCCTTAAAAAAAAAAAAGTTGAACCATGGGGCTGAGTTTTGTTCCAGGTTTGAATGTTGTTAAGAGGCTCCATTACCCTCTATCAGACCAGTAAACCTGGTCTTTTAGAATGTTTTTTAGTTTTGTTTCACATTTCCCCCAACTCTATGCAGTATCTTCTACAATGATCCCTTTGAGATAGTCAACAGTGGTAACAAAGCATCATCTAATTATTCTGGTAAAACGTCACATTCTCAAGGAAGAAGTTCGAGGCAATGAGCTAACCTAAGTTGGTAGGTGTCCCCCCCCACCATTCCATACCCAATAACTGTGTCTTTTTCTAAAATTCATATCTTAATGGAGGACATGACAAAAACCTGTGAATAAGACTTTCTTTGCCCCATCAGCACTGGTTTAGTTATAGAGCTACTTAGGTGGTCAATAAATATTTATTTGGTCTTCCTCAAGCCAATAGTGTTTAGGTAATCTAGGGTTGTTTTTCCCCTGGGGATGACGTAAGGAGTGTTCATGATAGGAGTTGGCTCATACTGTGAGGATCATAATTTTAAACCAACTCTGGGTCAGCTGGGCTGCAGAACACCCACCTCAGTAGTTGCTCTTTGCTTTGGCCTTTGACTTTGGAAACACTGAAAGTTCATTGTCACTTGACCTTCAGTGTTGCATTTGTTAATTTTTAGAGGAAAGTGTTAGCAAAACACTGAGCAAATCTGCCTTTAAAATCAGGCAAAATTTATGAAAAGGAACAGATTATAAAAAGGTTAACAAGGTGTTGGACAATATGGTTCTTGGAAATCTATTATACTATCCAAAAGTACAATTTTCTTCTGAAGTGCCAAGAGATCTGACTCCTCCCACTATTTATTACTAACTTTATATTCTCATGCTTGGGAAGGCATGACAGAGTGGCTACAAAAACGAGTGTAGGCATAGAAGTGATTGTGGGAAGAGCACAGGATTGGGCAGTGTTTCCCTCTGTTATATGTAAAGTTTCTATGACTCAAAGGCGCTTACCAAGTACAGGAAACTGAGGTAGACTCATACATTGTATGATCCATAAACAAAAGAAGCTTACTAACCACAAGAGGTTTGGCAGATGTGAAATAAAAACAACAGCTACCATCTAGGGAGTGTGTGCCGTCGGCTCTGGTGGCCAGAGTCTGTAGGAAGTCGTGCTAATCCAAAGGCCAAGTCTCTCTGGTAGTTCAAATCCACCAGTGGCTCCTCAGAAACTCAATGGAGAGTCGGCTGAGCTGGTTCTGACTTGACAGCAATGAACATGTGAGTACTACAGCCTACCAAGCATTTTGCCTGTATTAACTAATATAGTCCCTACAACGACTCTTTGCAAAATACTATAATCTCCACGTTACAGATAAAGAATAGATAAATAACTTGCCTAAACTTGCCCAGGATAGTTAAAAGGCAGAGCCAGAACTCAAAACTTTGGCAGTGTGGCTCCAGAGTCAGATTTTGGTATGTTTTCTTTTTAAATGCTTTAATTATTTTCTCGTTGTTGAAAACATACACCAATTCAATTTCTACACGCCCAATTCAGAGACATTGAGTTCAAGTCGTCTTAACATTCTCATGCTGCTCGCCCCACACCCCTGCCCCTCAAATGATTCACTAACATAAACTCACTGCTTCCATCTCAGTTCTAGGATTGTAATTCAGTCAACATGGTACGGTACATAGTTTAGGAAAGGGAGATAAATTCTGATTACATTGAGGGTTAAGGGAAGGTGTTATGAAGGAGACATTTGCTCTGGTCTTGAAGGTCAGCAGGAGAGAGGCGTTGGTGTGGAAGGAACAGCGTGACTAAAAGAGGCAGTCTGGGTACCAGCCAGCTGACGACTGCATGATCTGCAGGGTGTGTGAAAGATGGAAAGGGAGGTCGCGCCCACAAGGTCCTAATCCCAACAGGAACGGGGGTGGGGTGTAAATTTCTCAAACTCTTTGCGCTGGAGAAAGGAATTCATGATCACTCCCTCCCATCTCCCTTTTCTGAGATCAAGGCAGGCAGCCCACCCAATTCCCTCTGGAGGAAACACCAGGCCGTCCTGGGACTCCTGTTCTGGGCTCAGATGCCCAGGACTTGGCCGCTGGCCCGGCGAGCGAGGTTGGGTCAGGAACGTGCGCACTGCCAGGTCTGGGAGCAAGGACACCTGCTCTGCGGGTACAGCAAGGCCTGTCCTCCAGAATTCCCGCCGGCCACCTCCCCCTAGTGTCCAGGGCCTCGAAGGTCGACGAGGTGGCCTCCTGGGAACACCCGCCGCCGGGATCCTCCAAACGCTACCCTCAGCACCAAAGACGCAAGGAGTAACAGTCTCAGCGATAGGCGGCTGCTCCTGTCAATCAGCCTTAGTCTCCGCCTCCAAGGTAGCCGGCGAAAATGGAATTGGTTGCATCATTACCAGGCTCCAATACGATTTTCTTCTTGGATTGGCTGATAGCATCCCCTCCCGCCTGTCCCCTGGGTGTCAGAAGCTCGCCATTGGTTAATCCCGTTGCCAAGCTCCTGATGCGGCTCGGCCATTGGAGGCCTCAGACCCGCCCCCGCAGGCTAGGTGAAGGTGAGAGTCTCCTCCAGGAGCCACTCGTAGACCTGACAGAGCACGGAGGGAAAGCTCTCGTCAAAAGTCCTGCCATGGCTCCTCCGTCCGTCTTTGCCGAGGTTCCACAGGCCCAGCCGGTCCTGGTGTTTAAGCTGACCGCTGACTTCCGGGAGGATCCAGACCCTCGCAAGGTCAACCTGGGAGTGGGAGGTAAGGATGCAGTGTGCCGGATTGTGAGCCATGGAGGTAGTGGAACGGGCCCCAGTCAGGGAGGTGGGGATTGTGGGAGAGGCTGAGGCCAGCTTTGCGCTGCCTGGGATGGCAGTCCCGACAAGGAGGCAGGAAGCAAAGATCCAAGAGGTCTTATTTCTACCTGCCTATTTTGCAGAGAGGGATGAGGAGATCCAAGGCTACGTGCACCCAAGGTCACACAGCACAGGACACAAAGTCAGATTTTCTGGATCCAGCATCCTGTGTTATTTATACTACATCATTTTGCATATTTTTTTTAAAAAATAGGGGTGACCAGGGATAAGGACTGGAGGGAGGAAATAAGAAGCCCAATAGGATTGGAATCCAAGTTGCTGGGTAATGGATAAAGGATGAAGCTTTAACCCCTGGAGCTCTGGTCTTTGTTAGTAAATACTTGGCCTGACTAATGAATTCAGTCTGGTACCTTACTAAGCATTTTGGACGAAAAAACAGTAAGACCGAGGCCTCAAAATCAGTGAGTATTAAGTGATATAATGTTGTTCCGAGATCCATTAATACTGCCTCTACTCCAGTGTAGAGGGAGGAAAGTGGGATTTGGGAAGATTACTCATACCTGTGAGGGGAAGATGCATGGGAATCAGTAGAAATGATGGAATTCTCAGAATCAAGTAACAGAAAGCGTGTGGGCAGTAGAAACTCACTTTCACACTTAATTAGAAAGTAATCAATTATTGATTAGAAATAATAATAATTATCATTATTATTATTTGTACCATCAAATCGGATCTGACTGGTACAGGAGGAGATTGTCCCTCCTTTTCCAGAGGAGCATCTGGTGGATTCGAACCATGCCCCTCTGGGATTGCAGTGCAGTTTCTTGCCACTAGGCCACTAGAACTCTCTCACACTTCCTGCTTTTTATTTCCCAAAATTAAATTAACTTGGAAGGATAAAGATATGGCACATTTGAGTGTCAGCCCTGGAAGACTTTCAAAGTAAGAGTTCTAAGAATTTTTTGAACAATGGTAGCATTGTGATAATAGGTAGGGAGATCTACTTTGGAGAGAGTTCTTACTTTGGAAGAATCTAGACTAAATCCCAGGAGCTCTGTTGGTCTAGTGGGTAAAGAGTTGTACTGCCAACCCAAAGATAGATGGTTTGATGTCACCAGCTGCTCTGTGGGAGAAGCTGGAGGTAAGCTATGCCTCTGTTCTGATGCACATAACACAATAACAAGACCAAATCCCTCCTGGTAGAACACTCTTTAAACTTGTTGATAAGTAATTAGTTGGGAGGGTAAGCTGTGTAATGTGGGCAATATGACAATATTGCTAGAATCAGATTCTGTTGGTCTGCTAATGGTTGTATCAGCTTGGAACTCCGCCCACATTTTTCTTACTACCTTGATAAGTCTATCGGATTTCTATTTGTTAACATTCCTGAGGGAGGGATGATAAATGTGAGCTGATAGAATAGAGGATAGATGTGACATTGAAAATAATCTTATGTTGTCTATTGTCTATTGTGTACTCTTTGATCTAGTGATTTTATATCAAGATTTTCCTAAAATAAAAATCATGAATATGACACGATGAAAGACTGTTCACCATAGTGTTTCTAATAGCAATTAAATGAAAGCAATGTAAATCATTAATACTTTACGCATAGTAAAGAGTATTAGCAACAAATTGAGGCTATATATGATTCATGTATGAAAACTGCGCCGTTATATTCATAATGAAACAAAACTATTCTGAGAGACCATTTCAGTCTTTTTTTTTTCCAGAGCAAGCCTTTATTAAATGAGTTTACAGATTAATTATACAAACCCAGATAAAGGAATAGACTAGTATACCATTTCACTCTTGTATTACCAAAAATTCACTCCTTCACTGGTTGTGGGAAAATAATTGCTCTAGTACATTGCTGAGGGAACTCTAGTGGCCTAGTGGTAAGGAGTTGTGCGGGCAACCCAAAGATATGTGGTTCAAATCCACCAGCTACTCCACTGGAGAAAGATGGGAAATCTCCTTCCGTGCAGTTAATTGCCTCTGAGAGCCCGGTGGTGGGCTAGCTATGGGTCAGTTCTGACTTCACGGTATACAACAACACAATACATTGCTGAGGGAGCTCTGGTGGCCTACTAGGTAAGAAGTTGCGCTGCCAACTCAAAGGCAGGCAGTTTGAATCCACTAGATGCTCCAAAGGAGCAGGGAGAAAGATGAGCAGTTTCCTCCTATGCAATTTACAATCTCTGAAAACCCGCTGCAGAGTCAGCTATGAATGAATAGTTGGTTCCAACTCAGTGGCACATAACAACAGTAGTATCAACAGTATATTGTTGGTGAGAATATAAATTGTTATATTCCTATGGAGTATAATTTAGAAATGTCTGTCAAGTACATATAGCCCTCAAGCCACTCATTCCATTTTCAACACTGCTTTTTTACAGATATATTTGCATGCAGATATCTCTTTAACGTGTGTGTGTAGTAGGAGAAGGAGAAGGATGAGTAGTCTCCTCCCATGTGATTAACTGCCTCTGAAAAGCCGCCAGAGGGTCCACTATGGGTCAGTTCCAACTTGACAGCACACACCAGTTTTCATGTGTATTAAGATGACATTTATCCACGATTGTTTTATTTTTTTATTTTTATTTATTTATTTTTTTATTATTTTTTTTTTTTTTATTTTGTGTGCGTGTACCGTCAAATCAGATCTGACTGGTACAGGAGGATATTGCGCCTCCTTCTCCGGCAGAGCGTCTGGTGGATTCTTCCACGATTGTTTTAGAATAGCCAAAAAAAAAAAAAAAAAAAAGAAATAAATGTCCATCAACAAGATACTGGCAAAATAAATTACAGCACATTCATCAGTTATGGACCTGTTAAAAAGAGCAAAGAGACATACTCTGTGCAGAAGCATAAAAAGAAAAGATTTTCAAGTTAAGTGGAAAAACCAAGTTGCTGAACAGTGTATAGCATACTGCTGCTGTTGCTAGGTGCTGTTGAATCCTTTTCAGCTCCAAGTGATCTTGGGAACATGAAACCCTGCTGCTCCTGTAACCTCCTTATACTTCATGTCTGCATTTGAGCCTCTTGTTGTAGCCCCTGGGTCGGTCTGTCTCACTGAGAGTCCTCCTCTTTTTTAGCTGACCCTCTGCCAAGTATGATGTCCTTTTCAAGGGACTAATCCCTCTCTATAAGGGAGTTCTGGTAGCCTAATAGGTAAGGGAGGCAGTTCCAACCCACCAGCACCTCTGTGGGAGAAAGTGGGTAGACTCCTCTCCTGGGATGTACAGCCTCTGAAGAGCTCCGGAGGGTGAGCTATGAGTCTTTTCCTATGACACATAACAGCAACACAACAATCCCTCCATTGATGTGTCCAGAGCACATGAGATGAAGTCTTGTCATCCTCTCATCTAAGGAGTATCCTGGCTGTACTACTTCTTTCAAAACACATTTGTTCATTCTTCTGGCAGTCTATGGCTATTTGGTACTTTTCAAGTATGTTATATGCTACCTTTTGTGTAAAAAACTATTCTTAGGAGTTCTGGTGGCCTACTTTTCCCACTAGGCCACCAGACCTCCCCAAACCCTTTTTTTTTTAAATGGAGGAAGAGGATTTAGGAACTAGGTAGATAGGAGAGGAACTATGTAGGTAGGTGGGATGGAGACATGTGAATTACCTATTAGAAGAATAGTTAATGATGGTGAAAGAGATTCATAATCCATCGTGAAGTGGAAAACATGTTGAAAAGAATCTATATACACTATGATCTTATATTTTATTAATTAATATATTCATATATAATAAAGCTGGGGATGTTGTACATCTGCATTTTCATATTTATCTCTAGGGTTACATGCTAATTTTACTCTTTATTCTACTTTCTGGGCCTTGCTAACTTTTTATAATCAACATCTATCATTTGGTAAAAATAGCAACTACCCCTAAAGGTAATTGGAAAAAAGTCCAAGATTAAGATTGACTAGAAACAATCACATAAAGGTGGATTAGAATTTCTGTAAAATTGTTTTAGGTTAAAAACATTTGCCTACATATACTATTTCAGGAGGCCTCAATGAAGTCTCTGCTGGTCTAGTGGTAAGAAGGTACGTTGCATTTCTGAAGGTAAACAGTTTGAATCCACCAGCTGCTCCATGGGAGAAGGATGGGCAGTCTCCTCCCATGCCAGTAACTGCCTCTGAAAACCCGCTGGGGGGTCAGTTATGAGCTGGTTCTGACTTGACAGCACACAACAACAACAACAAACATTGATAAATAGGCAATTATTTTTTGAATAGTTAAGAATTCTCTTCAAAGGGATTAACATTTATTTAGGTGCAAGGCCAAGGGAGCTACCCTCTAAAGCTATGTCCCATTATTATATCCCTGAAGTAGTTATGTTACTGTTAGTTGCTGATGAATCAATTCTAATTCACTGTGTGCAGAATTTTCTATGGGATTTTTTTTCCCTATGGGATTTTTAAGGCTGTGACCTTTAAGAAGTAGATCACCAAAGCCTCCTTCTGTGCAGGAGTTTGAACAAGTTGGAACTGGTTCAGCCATGGCTGATGAATCAAACCCAGAAAAGACTGGGATTTGCAGAATGTGGGTGCCTGGAATGATAGATAACCAAACAGGAAAAGAGTTACAAGTAAAAGCCCTGGAATGATAGCCTTGTAAGAGCTAAATTAGCCCTTTCAGGAACCTGATTCAGGGTTTGAATTATTGCCAGGACTGTGGAGTGTAATAGACTTTCAATGCATTGCAATTGACTGCTGTCTTTGAGTGGGGCATTGATGTTTCCAACTCTGCCAGGCAGTAGATTTGGTTGCTATGCCTATGCAAGAGTCATTATTTTCTTTTTCTTTTTAATGGTGAGAAAAATTTGTATTTAGGCTGCCTGAAGGTGGGTGACGTGCGGGTCTTCTTTTTTTTTTTTTTGGTGGCTGTGGATGCCCTTCAAGACTTTGGCTTCACTTTTGGGAGGGACAAGGGCTTCCTTCACTTTTGGCACCATCTTTGTAGAAAGGTGATACTCTGTTTTCTAAGAGAGAAATTTGTTTTTTTGTATGGCACTGTCCTGTAATTTTTTCAGTTCTTTTTTGCTGCAGGAGGTACCCACAATTTTACAAATTCTGGTCTGTCTTGACTGTACTTGTTGATCATGACTGAACTGGGAACAACCTGTTAGAAGCCCTGCTTTAGAGGCACTTTTGAGTGGGTGTGAATTGCCAACCTTTTGGCTAATGTTGTTGTTGTTGTTGGTGCTATCAGATTGACTATGACTCTTAGTAATCCTGTGAATAACAGTCCCACACCTGTCCCACACCATCTTCACCGTCTCTGATATCCTCGAGCCTGTTGTTAATGTAGTAGTCTAGGAAAGAAGAATCAGGCATAGGATTACTCAAAGTGAGCTTAAAAATTACTTCAGTGTAGAGAAAGTGAGTAGAAGCTTGCTGTAAGCAAAATAAAATATTATAAAAGGGTTCCTTTGGATCAATTAAAATGTGATACAAAGTGAGTTGACTAGTCAAAATGCTACAACACCAGATGATGCCAGAATACATCATGATGTCAAAAGATAGAGAGACAAGCTGTGTTAATGATTCCTTGCATAATCGATTGTGTAGACAGCTATCAGAATCTTCCTTCAGTCACAGGATGTTTGCCTATTGTTATTCCTATTACTGCTCTTGTAGATAAAGAAGAGGTGGACTTCCTCCTTCCCTGTTTTGTCAAAGATATGTTCATCTGAAATAGCACCTAGCCCTTTTCTGTAAATTTCCTGGGGCAATATATGATAATGGGGTTAGTTTCAGGGAAGATACATTCTGAGCTTGATACTGTGGAGGTCTCACTTCCTGTGGAGTTGAGGTTTTCAGTTCAGGTTTAAAGAAGGGTGGGAGAAGCCCGAGATGGAGCTGGGTGGGAATATTATCCTTCGCAGGCAAGCATTTCATAATCCTCTGTGTAATACCTGAATCCTGAATTCAAGCCAACATGTCTATGTACTGATGAGTTAATGAGCGCTTTAACCTTAACTGTCTTGATTTATTGATTTGAGCGAAGGAGACTTTACAGATTTTCAGATGACTGTGTCAGAAGTCAAACTTCAGATGGCCAACAAGCACATGAAGAAATGTTCAAAATCCCTAGCTCTGAGAGAGATGCAAATCAAGACAACTATGAGATATCATCTCACCCCAGTAAGACTAGCAAAATTTAACAGAACAGCAAACAACAAATGCTGGTGAGGTTGTGGAGAGACTGGAACCCTTATTCACTGTTGGTGGGAGTGTAAAATGTTGCAACCACTGTGGAAAGCGATGTGGCGCTTTCTCAAAAAGTTGCAAATAGAGATACCATTTGACCCAGCAATTCCACTATTGGGAATATACCCTAAAGAGACCATAAATGGCACCCAAGTAGATATATGCATACCCATGTTTATTGCGGCTTTGTTTACAATAGCAAGGAGTTGGAAACAACCCAAATGCCCATCAACAAACGAATGGGTAGAGAAGCTGTGGTATATTCACACAATGGAATATTATGCTGCATTGAAAAACAAGGAACTCATGCAATATTATTCAAAATGGGTGACCCTGGAGGACATTATGCTGAGTGAGGTATCTCAGTCACAAAGGGACAAATGCTATATGGTGCCACTGTTGTAGAATGAGGCTGACATTGGGATGGGGGTAAGACTGAGAAAAACTGGATGAAATATGTTTATGGCATTGAAGTCTTTGGGGGAGAGAATATTTTATATTTTAGGGCATTATGTTTATCGTAAGAGTACAGAATGAGGGTTGCAGAGTGGATTATATTTGGGGGTTGGGGGATGTGGGGGGGGGCTTGCGTACCAATGAGGGAGTTTTTCTTTTGCGTTTGAAGGAGGGGAGCAAACGGGGGTGGGGTGGGGGGGCGGGGAGAGGGGGGCAACAATGAATGAATGGAATTCCAAAATCTCTGTAGATGTTCACTGAAATGAAAAATAAAGAAATTTAAAAAAAAAGAAGTCAAACTTCTCAGTCATATGAAAGCAAAAGGAGAGCTTTTGTATTTTTGCTTGCTACACAGAGATGCTGAAGGTAGCCAATTTTTAAAGATGTTTGCTGTCTGTACTTCTCTTTATAAGACTTTATCTCTTTGATTTGAGCATCAATTTTACCAAGAGATTTGGAAGGTGGCTTGAATAGTGTTGGGGTGCTATTGACAGAACTGACTGGGGCTGCAGAAAGAAGGCAGTCATTGGGCTTTATGTCATCATTTTCTTTTCTGGAGTTTACTTACACTTAAAAACTAAGTTCTGTTAAGGATAAAAGCCTTGTCTGAACTTATGTGCTCAGCACCTATTTCAATGCTTGGCCCAAAGTAAGAATTCTGTAAATGACTTGACTTTGTTTTCATTTTCTTCACTGTTCTTTTGGAATGGGATGGAATTATTCCTGATCACAGTTGTAAACTGACACTTGGATGAAACCCAGGACTTCTTCTTTATGTAACTCTTCCATATTCCAGCTTATCGCACCGATGATTGCCAGCCGTGGGTTCTGCCAGTAGTGAGGAAGGTGCAGCAGAAGATAGCTAATGACAACAGCCTGAACCATGAGTACCTGCCCATCCTGGGCCTAGCGGACTTCCGGACCTGTGCTTCTCGGCTTGCACTGGGGGATGACAGCCCAGCTCTCAAGGAGAAAAGGGTAAGCTCTGAGTGAGGGTGGATTTTTTTTCCCCTTTATAAAGTGTGAAAGTAAAAAAGAAGCTGAAGATTGAGATTGTTTGAAAATATTCTCAGTGTTGTCTAGTCAATACCAACTCATGGTTGACTCTGTGTTCGGTTTCTGAGAGTATAAATCGCACAGGAAGGTAGTTCCTGACTTCTCCCTCAGAGCCACTGGTGGATTAAAATTGTCAGACAGGCTCAAATTTTTGATTAGTAGTGCAAGCCACTCCATCCAATACTTTCTTTTCAAGTCTTAGGTATTATGTCTATAGAACTGTCAGGAAGCTCTTGTGGCCAACTGGGTAAGGAGTTGCACTGCCAAACCAAAGGCAGGCAGTTCTAATCCACCAGCTGCTCTGTCAGAGAAAGATGGGCCGTCTGCTCCCATGTGATTTATAGCCTCTGAAAACCCACTGGAGGAAGCTGTGAGTCGCTAATGACTAAACAACAATGAGTGAGAGTGTAGAATGGTCTGTGATAAAGGTTTTTAAGTCATGTGACTTCAAGAACTTGATATAGCAAATAATGTGACCATATGCAAATCACAGATTCTTTGATTGCTCAGCTTTGCCTGGTAGAACTACTACTAGGTTTGAAACAGTCAGTGTATGTCCACTTTTAAAGGCAGATAAGTCCCAAGTTCAGACCTCAGGGCAAAAGCTTCTCCTGACTCATGAAACTGGAGGCTAGTGGATCCAAGACTGGTTGGAGTCTAAAAAACCAGAGCTGACAAACCAGATGCAGGGTCTAGATCAAGCAAAATCAAGAGAGCCTTGTTATATTTGGTATAGACCACACCTCTGATAAAATTCCTTTTATCAAACTGGCCACATAGCAGATCTCATCACGAAGTGATTGCATTGTTCACAGTCTCAATAAGGAAATAATTACTTCACATCACATCTTATGAAAGGAATGACTGCATCATAACTGCAAAGCCGGAGGATCATCAACAGACGTGTTGACATAGAACTTTAATGACCACAGTAGAGATGCTAAGCATACAGAATTGACTAGAATGATCGAGAGACCAGGGTTCTGGAACCAGCTCTGGTATTACTTTTAACCATACGCAAGCCATTTATACCCAGCTTATACCCCAGCCCCTATATCTATATGTTAGAAAAATTCTAGCCTGTATTCATGCTGTTCATGCATTTGCATTTTTTAAGGAGTCTCCCAACCCTCTGAAATGATATACTGAATTTTATGTGTATGGGCTTATTTCTGAGGAGAAAGTTCAGTTTTTTTATAAAATTTTCCAAAGGTGTCTTGCTCACTCACTCACTCATTGCCATTGAGTTGGAACCAACTCATGGCTGACCCTCCAGCAGATTTTCAGAGGCTGTAAATCACACAGGAGGAGTTTCTCATTCTTCTCCCGTGAAGTAAGTAGCTAGTGGGTTTGAACTGCCTGCATTTGGGCTGTGAGTGTAATTCCTTACCCACTAGACTTCCAAGCTCCCTAGCTCCCAGAAGTTCATGCCTTTAGTGTAGATAGAGTCTAAAATTTGCCAATTCTAATGTGTTTTGGGGAGCTCTGATGGTAGGGAACAGTATTGCCATCCCAAAGGCAGGGTGTCCACTGCTTCTCAGGAGAAAGATGGGCAGTCTCTTATGTGATTTATTGTCTCTGAAAACTTGCTAGAGGGTTCTGAGTTGATGATATATAACAACCACTACAATGTTCTTAATTCTTCTAGCCTTAGTCTTACTCATTTAAAAGCTTCTTGGAATGTATTCTGTTTATAACTACAGACACTGGACACAGACACAGAAGCTGTGTGTGGTAGATGGTTGCATGGTACAGGTCAGTGTGGTAGAAACCAGAGGCAAGGGAGACCGGTGAAGGCCACACATGGAACTAGAACTGAGTCTCGGAAAATGGGTGAATGGGGCCAGACCACTGGTTCTCAACTCTCATGGCACATTTGAATCATCTACAGAGCTTTTTTAAAACATGATGATTCTTAGGCTCTGATCCAGATCAGTTGAGTCATAATCTTGGAGGGTGTGAGCTCCTGTGTGGGTTAATTTGAGAAAAAAAGAAAAGGGAAAAAAAAAACCTCTCCAACTGTACATGCAGCCAGGATGGGGAACCAAAGGTGTGGAGGAGAAAACAAAAGGGGGCATTTCTCTTGAGAAGGAGGAGTCAGAAGAAAGATATAGGTCTAAGCTGTGGAAAGACCTGCCTGATTTGAGCTGAGAAGCATGTTGGATGTATTCGGGAGGCTGAGATTTTACAGCTAGGAGAGTGGAAGCCAAATGCAGGTTTGAGCAGAGGTGTTACCCAATAAGAATTGATTGAGAAAGGTAAACTTGGCTGACTGGATAGAGAGGAAAAGACCTGTGATGTTTGCAATAGTCCAGCTAAAACTTGTGCAATTTAACCCAACTGCTCTCATTGCTCCCCTGGGCCAGTGTTAGACTGCTGCCAGTGGTTCATGAATTGGAGGAGTCCTTTTTTTTTTTTTTGTGACTTGAGTGAATGTGTACAAAGTACATTGGTCTTCCATTCATTCAACCATTCATATGCACTTTGTTTTATAATGTTAATTCCAATATCCACAACATAATTACATTCTTCCCACTTCCTCTGTGCTTATCGTTTCCATTAATCCTCCGATTCTACTCCTTTGCAGCCTTTTGAGCTTCAACCTTGGGCTGCTACTGCAGCAACCTTATGTGGTGGTGGTTGTTCTTGTGTACTGTTGAGTTGGAACCAACTCATAGCTGACCCCCCAGCAGGTTTTCAGAGGCAGTTAATCACACAGGAGGAGGTTGCCCATCTTTCTCCTGCGGAGCAGCTGGTGGATTTGAACTGTGTGCCTTTGGGATTGCAGTGCAGTTTCTTACCGCTAGGCCACTAGAGGTTATTCTAATGAGTGAATGCCTTCGTGGTGTTATTGTTCACTTCATAGTCCTGTCCATTGTTTGACTGAATGTTGAGTCATGGGGATGGTTTTGGCCCAGGTTTGAAGGATGGCTAAGGCCTATAGTCTTAGGGGTCCACCAGTCTCTATTGGACCACTAAGCCTATTTTTTAAAATTTTTGTTTGTTTGCTTTTGTCCCACATTTACCCCTACTCTATCCAGAATCTTGTGTGATGCTTTTTAGCATGGTCAGCGGTGTTAGTTGGACGCTTATCTCGTTTTTCTGGTATTAATGCGGTAGAAGTTGGACTAATTGTTTCTTTGCATTTTTAATTTTCCTGTCTTTTGCTTCTTCTGGATTAGGGAGACCAGTTATTGCACCTTAGATGGATACTTGTAAGCTTCTAAGACACTAGTGGCTACTCACCAAATTGGAATGTAGAACATTGACTCTATGGATTATGTTATGCCAGTTGACCTTGATGCCTCCCCATGAATACAGTCCCAAAATCCCAGGACCAACTCATCCCCACAAAATTGGTTATGATTAAGAAGCTTCCATAGCATTGCCCCCTGTTGGTGCTTCTATACCAACTATACCAATATAAGTGGAGACGTAGCTGCCAAATCTACATATGGTCATGAATGTAATTTGAAGGAGTCTTGACACCTTGGAGTCATCTGATTTATTCTGTACATATTTTTCGTAGCATTTTCTTCCTTTTGTAAAGCTCATGTTACTGAGATGCCCTGATAAGCAGAATGGTAGGATAAAATAAAGGTTGTACACGTGCACATTCTTACAAGTATCAAGAAACAGAGCGGCTTTAGATGAAGGTATTTAAAATGGAGGTCAATGATTAAGCAAGTAAGTAACTTAGGGTTTTATTTTTATGAAAGAGTGTGAGAGACTGTGACTTATCTGCCTCCAGGAACTGAAGGAATGTAGATTCCTTCCAATGAAATGTTCCAATGGAGAGATTATTGGTGGAAGTTGCTCTGCAAAACAGGGTTTCAGCACAAAGGGGAGAATCTTTATGAAGTTTACATTGTTTAAAGTGGGGAACTGAGGACCTGTCGTCTAGCTGCGTGTTAGAAATTAGTAGGAATTCAGTTGTTGACAAAATGAAAATAGATTCTGCAGTGGGGTGGGCCTCTTCCCCATTTCTTGTGCAGCTTTTAGCTCTGTTGGGTTGCTGCTGTCTGTACGTTGATCCCTGTTGATCATCACTAATACTAAGACTTGAGCTGTTGCTTATGGTTTAGATCTGGGAATATAGCTTCCCTTCTCAGTTTGGTTCATCTCATGGGTTTGACCGTAAAACAAATTTAAATCTCGGTCTTCTGTAAATATGTGGAGGCTTTTTGGCTGATTGGGGCTACTTTCTTGGCATCTGGAGTGCCGGATATTCTCTTGGCAGCCCACTCTCTCTCCCTGCCAGTTTCCACTGGGCTGTGAGCTTTGCCTCTTTTCCTGGAAGTCTTCCCTCTCCCAGGCTACTGTCTTCATTCAGCACCTTCTTATTTTGATTTTTTCCCCTCTTCCATCTTTCTTTTAAACTTTTCCTTGTGACTTGAATGAACGGGCTGAGTAGACTGGTATTCCATTCAGCCATTCATACATATTTTGTTTTATGACATTGACTTCCACCCACATTGTATCTGCATTCTTTTCACTTTTCTCTGTGGTTTTTGTTTCCATTCACACTTGCATTCTATCCCCCTCTTCTGAGGTTTTTCTGTGGCCCAGTGATACCCTTGTGATCTTGATTTGATTGTTTTAAGGACTGAGTACCTGCCTGGCATTATTGTTTGCCTTATAGATTTGTCTCTTGTTGGACTGCTGTTTGAACCACAGGGATGAATTCAGTTCCACACTCAAAGGACGGCTAAGGGCCATAGTCTCAGTGTTCCACCAGCTTCCATCACGTCAGTACGGCCGGCCGTTATTGTGATTTTGAGCTTTGCTCTACATTTATCTCCCACTCTGTCCAGGGCTCACTCTCTTCACAAATTGTTGCTGTGCTTAAGCCCATTGTCGCAGTCAGTGTGTCAGGACCTCTCATTGAGAATTTTGCCCTCTTTCACTGAGCCTCTATGTTACCAAGCAGGATGCCCTTTTTCAGTGACCAGTCCTGCCTGATAACGTGTCCAGAGGACATGAGACGCTATCTCATTGTCCTTTTAAGGAATGTCCTGGCTGTTCTTCTAAGACAAATTTATTTGTTCTTCTGGCAGCCCATGACATAGTCCATATCCTTTGGCAACTGCATAATTGAAAGGGATCAATTCTTCTTTGATTTTCCTTTTTCATTGTCCAGCTTTTTTTGTATTGTTGTTGATTGCCACCGAGTTGAGCATGACTTATTGTGACCCTATGAACAAAATGCCTAAAGCCTTTCTATAACAATCATTGTTTCTCAAAGTTCACAGAGTTTCCAGAGGCTTGTTTAGGAAGTGGATGCCACTCCTGCTTCCATTTTTCCACTTTTTTGTATGCATATGAATTAATTGAAAATACCATGGCTTGAGTCAGGTGCTCCATAGTCCTCAAAGTAACGTTATTGCTTTTTTAACACTCTAAAAGAGGTTTTTTTATGGCAGTTTTCCCCAAAGCAATACATTATCTTTTGCTTTCTTTGCTGTGGCTTCCATGAGCACTGATTATTAATACAAGTAAATTGAAATCCTTGAGAATGTCAGTATTTTCTCTGTTTATCAGGGGGCTGCTTCTCTGCCCAGCTATCACGATTTTTGTTTCCTTTTTGTTCAAGTTAATCCTTACTGAAAACTGTAGCCTTTGACTTTCATAAATATGTATCTTTGCCATTTATCAGTATAAGAAATTAAAAATGGTATAAAAACAGTAATGTAAGGTTTATCAGGAATGCTGGGAATGGAAGTGAAGGTGGATACAGTTTTTAACAAGGTAGAAATAGAAAGTAGTATTTGATTAAAAACCTAAAGGAGATGTGACATAAAAGAAGGACTAAATGAACCAGAAAACAATTAGCAACAATGCTTTCCTTTAGAATTTTTCTTCTCAAGATCTACCATTACCATGTTCTTCATCCATTTAGAGAAGATTTCTTTTCTCTCCCATTTTCATACATGGGATCCAGATCACTTGTCTATTTCTGACTTCTGAATTGTAAAGTTTTAGCTTTTGAAATTACTGAGTCACTAGAGATGGTTGATAGGTGCTGTTGAATCTACTCTTAAATTTGAAATTTCAAGTGTCATACGCCATCAATGCCAACAGTTATTTTGGTGAAATGGATCTATCTTGACTGAATACAGATCCAACTAAGTTAAATGGCATTCTGATTTATTGAAATATATATATATTTGTTGTTGTTATGTGCTGTCGAGTCATTTGCGACTCATAGCGACCCTATGTACAACAGCCCTAAACCCTGCTCTATCCTGTGCCAGTCGCACTGCCTGTGACACACCCATCCCAATTACCCCAGTCACTGAATCAATCCACTTCATAGAGGGTCTTCCCCTCCTGCGCTGTCCCTCTACTCTACCCAGCATGATGTCCCTCTCCAAGGACCTGTCTCTCCTTACAACATGTCCAAAGTATGTCAGACGAAGCCCCAGAATCCTTGCCTCCAAGGAGTAGCCTGGTTTAACCCTCTCTAGGATGAATCTGTTTTCTTGGCAGTCCATGGAACATTCAATACTCTTTTCCAGCACCACAGCTCAAAGGCATCAATTCTCCTTCTATCTTCCCTAGTCATACTCTACTATTTATTGATATATAGATACTATAATATTATATATTATTTTTATTGATATAGATATATTTATTTATTTATCCCCTATTTCTTTTAATTAATGAATTTGCTTTCTTAAGAGAGAGAGAAAGGAGTTGCGCTAATAGCAGAGCATAGGAACAATTCTGCCTGGGAATATTTTCATAAATATCTGTGTTCGTCTGCCATGTTTCATAATAGTGTATAACCATGTTCAAGAGACACCTGGCTCATTGGCGTTGGAAGCATTAGCAAGTGTGGAACTGCTTAGGAATCTGAAATGTGAAATATGGGTGGTGTTGACATTCAGAGTCGTAAAAATTGCACGTTTGGATTAAATCGTGTCAATAGCAATTTATATAACAAATCGGATAAGTCATGACATGGGAGCAGAACTTGTCCAGCAGTGGAAAGAGGTCCGTGCTCAGTGGGGATCATTGTAAGAACAGAGTTAGTGCTAAGCTCTGAGAGTCAGGACCATTTTTCAGACACGCCCCTTCCTCCACATGGACACTTGTATTCAGTTCTGCTTCCCTTTGCTGATGTTTCACATTTCAGGCTGCATGCTTTCACAAATCATTGGACCTTTCACATACAAATAGAGCACTCGTGAATAATAGTAGCGGTCACTGGTATCGTCTTGTTCCTTTTAGGTGGAATTTCCATCAGTGATTCATTGTTCATTATGAAGCTGACTTAGGGATTGAACGATTTTGTATGTATGTGGTGTTATTTTCAGAACGTATAATTTTCTGTTTTATTGAGTATTTATATTAAAAATGGCTAAACCTTTGTTGTCTTGCTGTGGTGGTCATTTATGTTTTTTTCCTTCCGTCTAACAGAATTGTAAATGATATATTTCTTACTAATCAGGTAATCATGCTTTATAATCATGAAAGAGATAGAGCTGTCCCTTCCTCCAACCTCTGTGTTTTCTCCAGCTTTCAGCAACGTTTGCTCCCCTATGCTTATTCTTACTACCTTATTTTCCCCAGTGATTATCTGACCCTACCTGACCTTGCCATTGCCAACTACTTCCCTTTCAGGTAGGAGCTGTGCAGTCTTTGGGGGGAACAGGTGCACTTAGAATTGGAGCTGAATTCTTAGCCCGATGGTACAATGGAACAAACAACAAGGACACACCTGTCTACGTGTCTTCACCAACATGGGGTGAGTCTTTCAGTTGTGTTTAGGGGAGGAAAAGGCAAACTAGAGAGAATATACTTTTAATTACTTAGAAAATGTAACCCTGCACAGAAAAACTAACATTTGGTAATGGTATGTGAGAAGCCTGCTGTTCACATTTAGGCTCAGAATGTTTGTCTCCAAGACTGTTGGGAAACTTGTATCTCAGTGTATGTCAAAACTTTCCAGAGGAAGTATAAAATTAAATTCTGGAAGTAGCATTGTAGTAGGATATATGTTTGACATTAATATGACTGATTGAACTTGTTCTTGGTTCCAATCATCTTTCTAAAGCTTAAACCTTGGCCTTGATGTTGCCCATTAGGAATTAAGCCCGTGAGGTCCTGGAAGCTGAGTTGTATCCTCTGCAATTTTGCTTCCTTGTGTTAGTTAAAGCTCTTAATGTTTTGTCCCTTTACTTGCAGAAAATCATAATGGTATATTTGCTTCTGCTGGATTTAAAGACATTCGTTCCTATCGCTACTGGGATGCAGAGAAGAAAGGACTTGACCTTCAAGGTTTCCTGAGTGATCTGGAGGTGGGTGATGTAGAAGACAAGGGAAGTTTTAGGGTCAGCCAGAGAGAGTCCCAGGCGTGTTCTCCTAGTTCATTGGGGGTTTTTGGGGTAGCACATAGGAGGGCTTCCCCTTTGCTCATCATTGCTGAGCAACTTTCCACCGACAGTCCTCTGATAGTCCTGCTCCTGTCAGAGCTGATGACATAACTAACTTCTCTGCAGAATGCCCCTGAGTTCTCCATCTTTGTTCTCCATGCTTGTGCGCACAACCCAACTGGAACTGACCCAACTCCGGAGCAGTGGAAGCAGATCGCCTCCGTCATGAAGGTAACTAGCGACCTTTCCAGAGCATATTGTAAAAGAATGGTGTGTATTCTTTTGTAAAGGGGGAGGGTCAGTGAAGGAGAGATAGACCCTTAGTGAGATGGATTAACACAGTGACCACAGCAGTGGGCGCAGTTGTGTCAGAGATGATGAGGATGGTGCAGGGCAGGGCAGGGGTCAGAGCTGTTGTTCATAGGATTGCTGTGTACTTGATGGCACCTAACGACATTAATTCTTACTTAACATATCCAAAAGTAATATCTATTTACCTAAACATTTGTAAAGTAGAAAAAAGCCCCCCCAAAAGAAAAAAGCCCAGAGAAGTAAATAGACATTAATTATAAGACCTTAACTATTATTAACTGTATTAGTATATTGTATTAATTATAAGATAACCATTTTCCTCTCGTGCGATTATTGCCTCAGAAAACCCACTGGAGGGTCAGCTATAGATAGGTTGGTTCCAGCTCAGTGGTAGACAACAATAACAACAACAACAACAATCCTATTACTCAGAAAAAGCTACTGTTAGTTTTAGTGTGTAGGATATCTCTGTGTGTTTATCTATACGTACATTTACAGGGATAAAGGTTATAAAGATAGGGAGCTCTGGTGGTGTAATCTGTAGGAAGTTGTGGTGCTCCAGAGACTGAGTATCTCTGGTTGTTTGAAGCCTATAGCAGCTCTGAGGGAGAAAGATGAACAGTCTTCTCCCATCATCATCTATAAACTCCAGAACTCGAGGGAGGCTTGCTGTGAGTTGGAACTGACTCATGACAGTGACTCTGAGTTTTTGTATATTATGAAGATAGGACTATGTTTTCTATCATACCTTGTTTTTCACTAGTACTACTTTATAGGTCTTTAAATGCTTTGCAGCCTCATTTTTCACAGGTTTATTCTATCCATGGACAATGTCATGTTAGGGACTGATCAACTGATGGACAATTAGATGTTTTGCTCTTTTTTCTTTTGAAAGGTTTTTTTATTTAAAATTTTTTAAATTAATTTATTTATTTTTCATTTCAATGAACATCTACAGAGATTTTGGAATTCCATTCATTCATTGTTGCACCCTTTTCCCCGCCCACCCCACCTCCACCCCTCGTTTTGCTCGTTTGAACTATTAGGTAACAATAAAACTTGTTTATATTCCTTTGGAATAATTTTTTTTAAAATAACTTTTTAGAATGGAATTTCTAGCTCAAAGTGTGGCATGTTCTTTATTACTGTCTTTAAAGGTTTGCTGAGGAACGATTAGGTGTTAAGTACCATGGGGCTACAACAGTGAATAGAATGGCTCTTGTTACTGTGCTTTCAGAGCATACAGGCTGCTTAGGAGAGAGACAAGCACTAGTGCATTTGCAGTGCTGTGAGATAGCTGTGCTGATAGGGTTATCATGAGGGTGTGTAGCCCAGACTTTGGAAGAGTGTGTATGTGGGTATGGGCGGTAGTAATAGGAAGCTTTTCTGGAAGTGGCTTCCATATTGATTTAAAGGGTGAGGAGCAGTAAAGAAGGCCTTGACAAATAACACTGGGGGCCAGAGGTGGTGGTAGGGTTTGTTTCCTGCAGATGGACAAGCACAATTAAAAGCCCAAGGCTAAGCGATTAAGGCCCATTTAAGAAAGTGAAAGTAATTCTTGTGATGATGTAGCGATCAAAGAGACTTGAGCAGAGTGTGGGCAACAAGGCTGAAGGCCAGATATTGAGGAGTTGGACTTTATTCTGAGGGCAGCAGGATCCACTGATATCCTTGGAGTCAGGGAGTGGCATGGTTCCATGTGCATTGTCTTAAGGTTTCTCTGACTGCTTAGTGGAGATCAGCTCAGGGAGGGCAAGACTTGACAGTTGGGGAGACTATTGTAGTAATCCAGGCATCATCACCTAATGGTAGTCTGTAGTAGATATAAGAGGAACGTGAATGGCTTCTAGAACTTTCAGGAAATAGGTCTGATAGGATTTGGGATTTGACTGATTTGGGGAGTGAGCTCTAGAGTTGAGAGTCAGGGATACACCCGGTTTCGAGGCTGGATGGGTAGGGGAGGTGCTGCCGTTCAGATTCAGGAACAGATTTAGTATGAGGGAACTCCGTGAGCTGAGAGTGCTGAGAGCAGAGACCACTCTGTTTCCTTTTCAGTACCCAGATTTATGAGGAGGTGTTGGGGATACCAAGCCTATACTTGACAAATCTTATCACACCAAGATGTCATGGGGAAGAATCCACCATTGTATACCTCAAAAATAAGCATGATTGGCAAAGCTGTGTTATGACACCCTAGGACAAGAATACATTTGCATAAGGAAGGTTTCCTGAAATCATTGCAGTGGTTGGGGGCAGAAGGAAGAAGAGAAATTAGAGAGAAGGACAGGACAGCCTTAGCAAATTTTTCCAGGGACCAGCGGGGGAAGGGAGGCTGGTGTCTGACGTTGGTCAGAAGTATTTCCTGCCCTGACTCGCATTCCTTCCTTGTAGCGCCGGTTTCTGTTCCCCTTCTTTGACTCAGCCTATCAGGGCTTTGCATCTGGAGACCTAGAGAGGGACGCCTGGGCAGTTCGCTATTTTGTGTCTGAAGACTTGGAGCTCTTCTGTGCACAGTCCTTCTCCAAGAACTTCGGACTCTACAGTGAGTGTTCTCTCGAATTAACGCCTCGCCCTCCCCCTGTTCTCTCCAGCCACTGCTACCAAGGCTGATTTTCATCCCTCTCTTTAGATGAGCGAGTGGGGAATCTGACTGTGGTGGGAAAAGAAATGGATAGCGTCCAGCGGGTCCTTTCCCAGATGGAGAAGATTGTGCGGATTACTTGGTCCAATCCTCCCGCTCAGGGAGCACGCATTGTGGCATGCACCCTTTCCAACCCTGAGCTCTTTAAGGAATGGTAAGGGCTCCCAGCCTGATGAGCAAAGACTAGGAGTGCCTAACAACAGTTGTTGGGTTTTTTTTAAATTTTTTTAAAATTTTTTATTTTATTTTGTATGTGTGTACCATCAGATCAGATCTGACTGATACAGGAGGAAAGATTGTCCCTCCTCCTCCTGTAGGGCGTCTGGTGGATTTGAACTGCAAACCTCTGGGATTGCAGTGCAGCTTCTTGCCACTAAGCCACCAGAGCTCCCTAACAACAGTTGTTCTGTTAAATGAAATTGGATAAGTTTTTTTTTACTTTGACAGAGACAGGAGAACATTACTTTACCCTCTTTGACTCTCGAGTATTTCCGTCAAATGGGGGTGGCACCAGTCCACACAACACCTGGAACATAGAAAGAGGCACTTGATGGTGATACTTCCTCGCTATCCCCATCACCCAGTTTTCTTGTCTTTAAAGTTGGAAAACATAGGAAAGAATTCCTCATGAAGTAGAATATCCAACTTCAAGTTAGTTTAGTTTGGGGACTCCTCATTCTTCTAATTTACATATACTTTGCCTTATTTTGAAGCTAATATTTGTCTGACAAATAAATCTACACTCTTTATTTAATTATACTCACTGCCAAGGAGTTGATTTCAATCTGAGTCTTAATGGGAGGAGTCTATTCATATTTCTCCTTAGGAGCTACTGGTGAATTTGAACCAGTTGAGATACAATTCACTATGGATTGTACTACCAGAGGTCTTGTTTAATTAGACCTGATAAAATGTATTGACCTATCTCTATCAGCATCTCACAGAAGTTTGAGTTGAAACAGGAGTGGTATTAGAATCAGCATACCCAAGAGTAGCACTAAATTCCAGTTCGTTCTTTCTACTTGGAGAGTGGATCTGAGAGGGACACTATTAGACAGGTTAATCTATTACTCGAGTCTGTTCTTCTATCTCTTTATGCATCCATATCCCATAAGAGGCAGGCCCTGGTTCCTTTTCTGGTTTATAGATTCAATTATACATTGTTGGTTTTTGTTTTTGTTTTTTTTAATGTGTGTACCGTCAAATTGGATCTGACTGGTACAGGAGGCGATTGTTCCTCCTTCTTCAGCAGAGCATCTGGTGGATTTGAACTGCGCACCTCTGGGATTGCAGTGCAGTTTCCTGCCACTAGGCCACCAGAGCTCACCTCAATTACACATTTTAAACCTACATGTTGTAATGACAGTCTCTCCTGTGGGGGCTGGGATTTACATCCCTGTTCACTCTTAGGACAGGTAATGTGAAGACGATGGCTGACCGGATTCTCACAATGAGATCTGAACTCAGAGCACGATTAGAAGGCCTCAAGACGCCTGGAACCTGGAATCACATCACTGAGCAAATTGGGATGTTCAGTTTCACTGGGTTAAATCGTAAGTAGCTCCATCACTTTGGATACCTGTGTACAGGTGGACACCCAGCTCAAGATCTCAGAGATCCCGAGGTTCCCCTCTGTTAACTCATTGGTTATCTTGTTGTGTCCTCCCAATCTTGTGAACCTCTGGAGCCTCAGGAGAGCATGGTTGTTGGCTGTCCTATTGACCAAGATACTTTCATTTATGTGGGCTGGGAAGTCAGTTTAGAAGCAACAGAATTTGGAGCTTGAAACCTTAAATATGGGTCTCTGGTGGCCTAATGGGTAAGGAGTTGCACTGCCAACCCAAAGGCACATGGTTTGAATCCATTAGCTGCTTGTCCAAAGAAAGATGAACATTCTCCTGTGCGATTTACAGCTTCTGAAAACCCACTGAAAGTCATCTACGAATTGACTGACTCAATAGCATATAACAACAAGATATATATATATTTTTTATATATGTAAAATTTTTTTGGTGAAAATATACAAAGCAAAGCAAAAGTACCAATTCTGTAATTCCTACATACACAATTCAACTACATTGATTATATTACTCAAGCTATACAGCTAATCTCACTTTCCTTTTCCAAATTATTCTACCACTATTAAGATAAACTCTCTACTCCCAACCCTTCTTATCTGACTTACTGATTTGTTGCTATTTTGTTGATTTAATCACAAATGGAATTCTGTACGTTAATTAATTCTTTGAAGAAACATAATGCTCAGGACAGATGTTCTTTTTTTTATTTAAATTTTTATTATTATTTTTGTGTGAGTGTACCTTCAAATCGGATCTGACTGGTACAGGAGGAGATTGTCCCTCCTTCCCCGGCAGAGCATCTGGTGGATTCAAACTGTGCGCCTCTGGGATTGTAGTTGCAGCTCCTTACCACTAGGCCACCAGAGCTCCCCTAGGACAGATGTTCTTACGTGTAAATATTACATACAATCATGCAGGGGTCTTTCTTCTAAGAAAGTTATTTCACTATTTCATAAGTGAGAACTTAGATTGGTAGCTGGAATTCAAAGCTGATTGGAAAACCTTATAGGCAGCCATGCATGATTTTGGTCAGCCATCAGTAGGACATATTAGCTGTAAGTGATCCCTTCTGATGTTACGAAGTATTTATTTATAAGAAGTAATTGCTGAGCACCTACTGGCCACATGGTTTGGATGCGGTCACATAGCTGCATGTTAGGGCTTGTAGTCTAGTGGCTCTGGGAAGGGAGGAGCAGCTTGCTTGGGTAGTAGGTAGAATTATCAGAAGGCATAGCTAGGAGGTACTTGTTGTTGTGTACTGTTGAATCGGAACCAACGCACCGGAAATCCTCTGACGTGTTTTCAGAGGCAGTTCATCACATGGGAGGAGATTGTCCATCCTCCTCCCACAGAGCAGCTGGTGGATTCAAAAGGTGAGCCTTGGGATTGCAGTGCAGTTCCTTGTCATTGGGCCACCAGAGCTCCCTAGTCGGTACTTACTATAATCAAGATACTCAAAGTGCTGCTTTGAAAATGGACTCAGGAAAAAAAATATCTAAGGATATAAATATAAGGAAGAAAAGTACTAGAGATTTTTTATGGGATTTTTGGGATAAAATAAGGCTAGGAGTGTCTGGGTGGTGCAGATGGGTCTATGTACAGCTGAGAGCCAAAAGACTAGAGGTGCAAATTCTTGTCATGGAAGAAAGGCCTGTTAAGTTATTTAAAAAAAAAAATCAATCAGTCAATCATCTATTGAAAATCTGAGCACAGTTCTACTGTGATACACACGGGAATCACCACGAATGGAGTCATCTTGACTGTTAAAATAAGATTGCCCAAGAGGTAAGTGATAACTCAGCTGTAGGTGACCTCAGGAATTAGTTCACTTACATATGTAAAGCCATCTTTAACTTTCTGAAGCAAAGAAGAGTTAAGAAAATGAAAAACTCAGAGAAACAATCCAGAGGACTACTGGATTAGACCACGTGAACCCCAGCTTCCAGTTCCTTGAGATCAGAGGAACTAGATGGTGCTTGCCTACTACCACTTTTGGCTTCTCCAATAAGGGTCTCTGTCTTGTACAGAGAGAACAAAAGTTAAAGAAAGACTTACTGGTCTGATGAGGCTGGTGGTGGAAGGAACACCTAAAACCATGACCCTTCGACACACTTGAAGCCTGGCATGGAATCTATCTCTAGGAATCCCATTGTAGCCCAATAGTAGACAGGCCTGTAAAATGAGTAACACTGCCAGAGGCATGCAGTCCTCAGTATAGCTGATCACAGGAGACCGAAAGGACAACATTTGCCTGAAACCAAAGCTCAGAAAGCAGGAAGGGGCAGGAAGAACGAATGTAATGACAGTGTTACCACCCAAAATGTGCGAGAATGAGAGAATGAATTTGTAAATATAATGCTGTAAAACAAAATGCATATGAGTTAAAAAACCATGTGAACTTTTAGAAAAATGATGGATGGGACCAGGGAAGCTGGAGAGGAAGTGGGGAGTGCTCTGCAGCATTGAGGAGAGTGCAGGCAGTGTCATGACACCAGATGTGTATAGATTGTTGAATAAAAAAACAATTTTTTTCTGTAAACTATCACTCCCAGCTACAATAAAAATGGGAAGGGAAGGGAAGTTACGCTTTACAAATAGTAAGAATCCTTTGAATAATGGAAATGGTTTTTAGTAGTAATATTCTTTTTTTTTAAAACTTTAATAGTGTTTCTATTTCCTTTTCCCCACCTCTTTCTCTTTTCTTTTTGTGTGCCATCAAGTCAGATCTGACTGGCACAGGAGGAGATTGCCCCTTTCTCTCCAGCAGAGCATCTGGTTGATTCGAACCACTTGCCTTGGGGATTGCAGTGCAGTTTTTTGCCACTATGCCATGAGAGCTCCCTAATAGTAATATTTAAAAGCTCACAAGATGGAGCTGTCACCCTATAAAATCCCCATTTCCTCCTGCTGTCCAGAGTAGGAAGGATTTTTTTTAAATGATGAGAATAAACCTGTATTTTAACACAGATGTTATATTTTTTACCACTTGACATCATTTACTCTTAGAGCTTTCCCACAATCCAGTATTTTATTATGCAAAATACAGACTAACGCTTCCTAGAACTTCAATCTAGTTTCTACAGTTCTCATTTTATATTAACTTCCTTGAATGAAAGTTGACAGAACAAATTATTTTTCTAATCAATCATTCATGCACCTCTACTTTTCTGATGTTGATTATAAACATCCACATTGTAACCACACTCTTCCCACTTCTTCCCGGTAATTATCTTTTCTTGATTCTTGTATCCTACCCCTTTATTCCTGGACACGTGCTGCCCTTTTCATCTTGGATCACTGACTATTCTAAAGATCTAGTAACTCTCAAGGATTGTTGTTCAGTTTATAGTTCTGTCTCTTGTTTGGCTTAAATTGAGCCCCAGGTGTCAATTTTGCTCCAGGCTCAAACTGTGACTAAAGGCCATAGCCTCAGGTATTCCACCAGTTTCTATTAAACTAGTAAGCCTGGCTAGCTGGGAAAGAGTCTTAAACATACCATGGATGCCAAGAAAACAAATGGGTCTCTCTTGGAGAGACTGAAATCAAGTTTCTCCTTAGGGGCTAGGATTTTAAAGCTCGTCTCACAAGCTTTGGGCACTTGTTCAGGAGGGATCGGTGCTTGGAGAAGGACAACATGCTTGGAAAGGTGGAGGGAAAGGGCAGGGGAGGAAAACCCTGAATGAGATGAATTGATACAGTAACTGGAGCAATGCGGGTAGATGGGTCAGAGTCAGTGAGACTGGCCCAGGACAGGGCAGTGTTCAGAGCTGTTGTACATAGGATCACTATGAGTCACAGGCAACTTGACAGCACATAACAACAGTATCTGTATTTTTCTCCCACGCTATCTAGGACCTTCTACTGTGATCCAGAGGAGCTTTTAACTTGAAGCCCATAATGCACATTAGGAGAGCTGCTAGTCAGTCAAGCATTACTCTTGAGTCAGAACTGACTCATAGCTGACCCTCCTCTGGGTTTCCTAAGCTGTATATTGTGGGAGAGGAGATTGCCCATCTTTGTCCCGCAGAGCCTTTGGTTGATTTGAACTGCCAGAGGCACCACCTTTGGACCAGCAGCCCAATTCCTCCCAGACTATGCCACCAGTGCTCACCCGAGTGTATTTCTTTTTTCACCTTTTTCAAGGGAACAAATCCCTACCTTTTACTGCTTTTCAAATTATGACACCCCTCACTCCTATCTCCACAAAAGGGTTTAATTTTAGGAAACTCTGATGGCCTAGTGGAAAGAAACTGTGGTGCCATCCCAAAGAGGTTTAATTTTCATTGAGAAACAGCCAGGGATAGAGGGGAGAGATGTGGCCTCAGGGTTCCAGGCATTTTCAGTTGGTGTGGTGGGGTGGGTGGTGAGGCCCCGCCTCTTTGGATGACTGAGTCGGACAGTTAAAACTGGCTAAGGTGGCTCCTGAAGCTTGCTTGTTTTCTTGGTTTGGACACAGCCGTGAATAGACTCTTTCCACATACACAAAGAGGCCTAGATGGCATCATGGTTCAGAAGGCAGACTTGGAGACACACTGCCAGATTTTCCTAAGCACCAACAGCAGACCCACTTGGACTTTTCCTCTTAAATCCCAGCTCTACAGCTGTGTGCCCTTGGCAGGGTTATTTCACTTCTTTTGGCCTCATTTGTGAAATGGCGATGATAAGGTTATTATCATCAGGGTGAATGGAATTAATATTATGTATTTGGACATGTTGTGAGGAGAGACCGGTCCTTAGAGAGGGACATCATGCTTGGGAGGGTGGAGGGACGGCACAGGAGAGGAAGGCCCTCTATGAGGTGGATTGATTCAGTGACTCGGATAATTGGGATGGGAGTGTCGGAGACAGTGCGATTGGCACAGGACAGAGCGGAGTTTAGGGCTGTTGTACATAGGGTCGCTATGAGTTGCAGGCGACTCGACGGCACATAACAACAACAACATCTAGGTATAGTTTTTTGCCCGTGTGATTATTATGGTTTGATGATGATTACTGTTTGTTCTCTCAGATTTATGTCGTCTTCAGTAATTAGGTGAAGTGGGGCAGTGATGGTTCAGTAGTAGAATTCCTGTCTCCCAAACAGGAGCCCTGATTTGGATCCCCAGTCAGCATACCTCATACACAGCTACCACACATCTGCCGGTGGAGGCTTGAGTGCTGCAGTGACGCTGAACAGGCTTCCGTAGACCTGATAAGGAGTTGGGAGAAAGGCAGGGTGACCTCCTTCCCCACATCAGCCAATGAAAACTTTGTAAAGGAGTTTTGATACCTCCATGGTTAAGCTCTCAGCTGCTAACCAAAAGGTCGGCAGTTCAAACTCACCAGTATTAGGAGAAATCTGATGATTTGTTCCTGAAAAGATTACAGCCTAGAAAACCATGTAGGGTAGTTCTGCTTCATGACGTAGGGGCCAGTATGATTCACAATTTGACAGCTCTTATGAACATTCATCAGTGTCACTGAATGTACAAGTTCCAATAGGTGTATTGTTTTGCTCTGTCCTCAAAAACAACATTAAAATGCAAACCATAGAGGTCGCAGTGGGCTGACCCATCACTAGTCATGGGGCCGGCGCAGCAGCGGCAGCGTTTTGCTCTGTTGTGCGCTGGGAAGCTTAGGGGTCAGAGACCAGCTCAGCAGCAGCACCAGCACCAGCAACAACACATTGGGCAGACATCAGCTAAAATGCTGTCCTGGATTTGCAAGAAAGTACTAGGGGCTACAGTATAGGCAGTCTCTTCCTTTTATACATGATGTATCTCTATAAGCACGTGGGAAAGCTGCCCTGAATGAGGGCTCTGTGACAGAGAGAGAGTTGAAAATGAGGGAAGGTCTCATGGTGCCAGATCAGAGAAGGTTTTGTGGTTTTTCCAGCCACTGGTTTATTCACCCAGCATTAACCAAATAGCCCTCAGATCTGGGCAATGCCGAGTATATTGTCAAGAGGAAAAGTCAAAGTGGGTTTGCTGTCAGTGCTCAGAAGAATCCTCAGGAGATGGGGATTTCGTGTCTGCCTTCTCTGTTCTGTGGAACCAAGCCAGCCATCAACAGAACTAGCCCTTTCCCGTCCTAGGACAAGGAGGGGAGAAGTGGTTCCCATTTTACAGTCCCTAGAATTCTTCTGTTGCTTGTTGGAAATAAAAACCTTGGCATAGACCCATTGTTAGAAATACTGCCTAGGCTTACGAGCCCACAAAATCTCTCCATTTCATAATGTAACTAAACTGTATATTGTGAGGGAAATGAAATAGAAAGTAGTTATAGTAATGAATCATCAGAAACACAAGGAAATTCAGTAATTACAAAAAAAAAAATCTATCTAATGGTAAGGACATGGTAAGAAGCTGTGTTGCAATCCCGAAGGCACACAGTTCAAATCCACCAGCTGCTCCGCAGGAGAAGGTTGGGCAGTCTGCTCCCATTTAATTAATTGCTTCTGAAAACTCCTGGAGAGTCAGCGGGAGGTCATTTCTGATTTGATGGTAAACTACAACAAGGACCGTGTGGAGGTTAGAGGGCATAGAAGCATGCTGAAAGAACAGCTGGAAGGTTACAGACAAAACTCATCTGGAGGAGACAATGACTTTTAGAGCCATATTGAATTTTCTGAAGATTACAAAGAAAAAAAACCCAATAAACTATTAAGAGGGACTTTCTAGAACTTTGTGGGCTTACTTCCCTGTAATATCAGTTAGACAAAATAGCTCCCCTTTGGTTTGCCTCTTTATTTCAGGGGGGAAGAAGGAAAATTGCAGTTGTTTAGATAAGCACTAAATTGCTACTGCTTGAAGATTTTGGCGACTCTAATGATGTCTTCTTTTGATTTTCAACAGCTAAGCAGGTTGAATTTCTGATCAATGAGAAACACATCTATTTGTTGCCAAGTGGTCGGATCAACATGTGTGGCCTAACCACCAAAAATCTAGACTACGTGGCCACCTCTATCCATGAAGCCGTCACCAAAATCCAGTGAACAACCTCTGTCCACACCAGCGCCACCAAAGCGGTCCTCTGTCATGCGTGTTCCCGGCCTGCACAAACCTAGTTGTACATATCACGTATTAGGAAGCACGTGAAGGCTGCTCTGGCGAGACTGCCGTGGTTTTTAAAGCTGACCCCCCTCTCCCAAGAAAGCGACCCTTGAAAAGAAATGGAGGCTGGAGTAGAGCCTTTTTTAGAGGCCAGAGCAAATGAAAGTTTTTATTTAAAGAATAAAGTATTTTGATTAAGAGACATAGCTATCTTGCCCCTCTGCCTTTTAGAAGCAGGGGTGTCACCTGTGTTATCATGTGCTTCTCCATATTGTCTGTGCAAAGTCAAGCCCCAAAGATTAGTTTCCAAGTAGCTAAGTGTGACTGTGGGTGTTGACTGTCATTAAAATCTTCTCTTTAAACCAAGTATCTGTCTCTCTGCTCTGTCTGCACGTCTGTGTGTCCCTAGACAAACTTCAGTTCTTTAGGATGACTGCAGTTAAGAACTTTATTTACATTATAACATGGGTACATATATCTGAGACAAAAAGTTCACAAAACAGTATTTGCCCTTGCTATCTGTAGCGCATTCTGGTATTTTCTAGTTCATTCTACTCTACTGTGTTCTATTTAATGAAAAAAGAAACAAAATAAAAGTGCTAATAGAAACCCATGGAATTGGTTTGATGGTCCACTGGGGTGTGGATTGACACGGTGACTGCAGCAATGGGCTCAAGTGTGTCGGAGGTGAGGATGGCACAGGATAGGACAGGGTTCAGATCTGCTGCTAATAGAGTCGCTATGGGTCATACTGGACTCAACAGCACTTAACAACAATGATGGGTTGCAAATGACCCTTAGTTTTAGTTGCGTGTTGTAGATGATTTACTTGTGGTCAAGGAAAAATGAAAATGTATTCACATTAACACCTGTTTAGAGTACTTTAACTTGACATCAGTTTTGTAAATTTGTTGTCTAATGGCCAGTTGCCGTCTATTTATAGATTCACAGGAAGATTGACATCACTCAGTGATTGTAGAACTCCAGCCCCTCCCACTGCAGCCAGGGTACCTCTTACTCTAATTAAGTATAGCACTTTAATTATGGTAATATATGTGTTGCACTTAAATGACTGTATTTTATTGTTATGTTTAACTTACACTATAAAGTTAGTTGTATTGTTTGTTATGTACCATTGAGTCAGAACCGACCCATAGCTGACCCTCCAGCAGGTTTTCAGAGGCAGTTAATTGCACAGGAGGAGATTGCCCATCCTTCTCTCATAGAGCAGCTGGTGGGATTCAAACCTCATGCCTTTGGAATTGCACCTTCTTGCCTCTAGGCCACCAGTGCTTCCTATAAAGTTAGTTACAAGACTTAAATACAGATCATATTCTCTAGAATCCAACGAACTTTACAAATATGCTTGTGTGACTCTAGCTGGAACGGAATCTTAAAACAAGAGAGCTACTGGTTGGAATTTTAAAATGTTCACAGATCCTTCTTACTGTTTTGATAGTATCTGTAACTGCTTTGAGTTGTCACAAAATTCTAGTCTTAGGGAATGATATTCCTCTCCCTCAATGAAATAGTTTATCCCACATCATCCCTGAGTTGTTATTTTTCCAGTGGGTAGTGACAGAGGTGATAGGTTCATTTGGTGAGGTCCCCAGTGATATGGTCCCTAAACTAAAAAGATCCTTCAATCAGAATTTGATCTCCATTTGTCCTATTCTCTTTTCTAGAAACCACAGAGTAAATTTATTGTTACTTTTAATTAGTCTTTTGAAGAGTTGTTTTTGCTTTTCCCTGTGACTGTTCTCAGCCCCTTCTGTGTTTCTGCACAGGATCGTTTCAGATCCTTCATTGTTCCAGCTGGATCCCCAGCAGCCTTCAGAGAATGGTCCTGCCTCAAAGTGTCCTCAAAGTCATCCCTGCTCCCCCACCTCACTGTGCAGTTGGGTCTAATGGACTGCAAGGATTTAATGATTAGATGATTTGCCCTTCCTTTTCTACTTGCTTCTTGTTCTAACTTCCTTTTAATCAATATTAATTTTCCTCCCAACTTAAAAAAGCTTGTCCTTAGGAAGGAAAGACATACAAAATAATTGAATTCAACATTCTGTCAAGCTCTTCAAATTTTAAAACACACAGCCTCAGTAGGTATGCTGTTATCCCCAAGGAGTTACAACTTGGTTCTTACGGAGTGAAAAGATCTTAGATAATGAAGTATTTGGTGGCCCTCCAAAGCTCACCCCCACTCAACATCATCTAATCCTTTAATCCATAGAGAGTAATTACTCAGGGAGAATTTAATTTTTTTCTTTTTAGGGGCGTGTTCGTAGAAATAATTGCTGTTTTAAACCAAAGCACCCTTACTAAAGTGCTAAAATGTTCTTGTTATGTGCAGTTGAGTCACTTGCAACTCAGAGCAACCCTATGTACAAGTTTTAAACCCTGCTCTATCCTGAGCCAACCTTAATTATCTCTGACACACCTACTTCCATTACTCCAGTCACTGTGTCAATCCATCTCATCGAGGGTCTTGCCATCTTGTGCAGTCTCTCTCTGAGGACTGGTCCCTCCTTGCAACATGCCTAAAGTATGTCAGACAGAGCTTCAGAATCCTTGCCTCCAAGGAGCAGCCTGGCTTATTCACCCTCTCCAAGACAAAGCTGTTTGTTCTCCTGGCAGTCCATTGTTATTCAATACTCTTCTCTAGCACCACAGCTCAAAGGCATAAATTCTGTCATCCCTAGTCTTTGTCCAGCTTTCTGATGCATAGCACATAATTGCAAAGGCCATGGCCTGGATCAGGCTCACCTTAGTCTCCAGACTGACACTATTGCTCTTCAGTACTCTGGAGATGTCCCTGACAGCAGACTTTTCCAATGTAATTCGTCTTTTGATTTCCTGGCTGCTGGTACAGAGAGTAGTGGAACTTGTGGAGCCAAGCAAACTAAAACTGTTACCAATCTCAATATTCCTCACCATCTATCATGATGCTGCTAATCAGCCCAGTGGTAAGAATCTTTTCTTATGTTGAGCTTCTATCCACTTTGGCCTTTCCCAACCCAGGTACCCCGCCCACGCTCCCACAAGTCCAAGGGCAGCCTCTGAGGATTAAATAGTTTTGGGGGCTCAGAGCTACCATAAGAGAAAATGTTCTTAGCATTAAAAATAATCCCATCTTAAGGAGCATTTGGCTTTCTTAATTCTGTTCATTATTGGTGCAGTGTTTAACTGCCTGTTGTTAACTCAAAGGTCCAAACTGCCAGCATCTGGAGATGAGGCCACTATAAGACAGATTTGAGTTGATGGCAATGGGTCAATCTGTCCTTACATTCTGCTCAATATTTCCCAAGATATATTCTAGTTTCTACAAGGTTTAAGTTGTGAGAAGGAAGTGAGGCAAGAAGGCTCTGGATAAAGTTGAAGAAAGCTGGGCTTGATGAATTAAGCAAATGTCTTTATCGCAGGCCTTTTCAGGGCCTTTACCATGCTGATTTGCGCTGTGAATTTCAAAGGTGGAGTTACTTTACAAATCTGCCTGCTCAGGAGGGCACTCAGATCTCAAAGCTGTGCCACTTCCTAGCAGTGTAATTGTCACTTAACCTCTTACAGCCTGTTTCCTAGTCTGTTCAGCAGGGTTACTATACTGCTTTCCTAGGGTGGTTCTGAGAAATAACTGAGTGAATGTGTATACTTAGTAGAACACAGCTAAAATGGAAAAAAAAGCCCTTGACAGAACAATTACTATCATTTATTATTATGGTTAATGAAGTTAATAGTCTGTATGAAGGCTCCTAGGAAGTATCTTAAGTGTTTTTGGCATAGGCTAATAATCATCCTGTTCTGTGAAATGAGAAATTAGCCTCAGTAGTAGATGTCAGATTCCAACTTTCCTTCTATAATGTTACTGACTACTCAAAACACATCTTCCCACCTGCCTGGCTTTTCTGTCCTTTCTGCACTGGCTAAAAACCACTGTGGAAGCCAGACCTAACTATCTGACTCTCTCCTCAGGCTTGGTTGGAAGCTGCAGGAGTAAACTACTTTGACATCTTCCAGAACAGTCTGTGAAAGTCAGTATAGCCAGTTTGTTTTCTCAGCAGCTCTGCCTAGGCCCAGCCTCTAAGACCTTGAACTCTATGCACACATAGCACGCAGTGCCTGGTATATTTCAGCACTTTGGTAAACAGGGTCAACAAATTCCAGTTCTTCCTAAGATCACATTAATGTTTGTTTCTTTACTTCTTTATTCACACTCTGGCTTCTAGTAAGAGTTTTACTAATTTCTGGTATTCACGGCTACAAAATCTTATCCATTTGACTCCTGGAAAACAGAGCCCCAACGTGTCTGGCCACCTCATCACAGACTCACACCTGGACTGCTGGTAGGTGGGGTGTGAGTGAGAGAGAGACACGCATGTTCCCACCAGCTTCCACCACACATACAACTCCAAGATCCTAGGAGCAGGGAACACAGCCACATTCCAGGAAAGACATCTTCACTTTGTTAAAAAAATTCTGTAGTTTATTGAACTTTCATAAATGCTTTATTTTAAAATCCTCTCTTCTTTTTTAAAAAACTTATTAATCTGAAGAAAAACTTTGGGGGATGGGATAAGGGCGTGGTGACAGGTTCTTCTTAGGGATTTTGCAAAGGGATGGATGTAATGCAACAGCAGTGGCCTGAGCCTGGAGTCCAAAGGGCTACTGAAAGGAGAGGACTCACCAGGTAAGCCCCCTTGGGCCAGCGATCATCTGGGCATGAAGACTGCATGATGGCAATTCTTGTTCAGAACTCACTGTTGGCTGATTCTTACCAGGCAAGAGCCAGTGTTGGGAGGAGGGGGCGGCTGTGGACATTATCTACAGAAGTCATGCACTGTGGGCCTCAGGCCAAGTTGGGTAAGGGGCATATGAGAGTGAACAACAATCTTGCTGGAAGAAAAGTCCTCCCCGACTGGAAAAATCTTTACTTTCACATGCAGTGAGCCCTCCTGTGTGAAACACCTGCTCTGACTGGATGGAAAAAGAGAATCAAGTTACAGAGACTTTGCTACAGGCTGTACAATCCTGGGTGGGCCAAGTCACAGAGAGCCCCCACCTGGAGGTGGGTGCCAGCCTTCCCCTTCAGTTTCACGGACACTTAACAAGACCACTCATAACTAAAAATCTGTCACCCACTGCCCAGGATTCACCTCACTCTGCATGGCAGAAACTTCCAGGCTGAATATCCCACCAATTAAAATAGTGGTTCTTAACCCTTTGTAGGTCTGAGACCTTTAGGAATCTTATGAAAGCATCAGTCCAAAACACACATAAGAGCACACACACTTAATTCTGAATACAATTTCACAGGTTTCTTGGACCCTCTGAAGTCCACCTATGGACCTTCGGGAGTGAATAACCCCCAGTTAAGAACCCCTGAGTTAAAAGTTCCCATGGGTTAATGAGCATTTTCTAATGAGATGTACATAACCCACAGGAATTATCAGTCCCTTACCCAAGTGATTATTGACTGAAGAGGCATATGGAAGTAATGATTATTTTTGTTTTATGGGTAAGTTGTAGGGGATGGTATAGTATACCACAAGGAAAAGTTTGGGGGTGGCCTGGAGATTCAGCAGGCAGCACTGGTCACTGAATGTGTGACCGAGAACACTCAGTTTAGAAAGGGAGATGGGTATTTGAGGTCAGAATTCACTTCCAAACTTGCCCTAACTCTGGTGAGTTTGCGGATCAAATCGGTTCAAATCTTGGAAGTCTTATGTGCGGTCATTCTGCCATCTGGTGGTGATGGCTAGAATCGCATTATCCTTCAACATCAGATGAAAGCACATGCTGTGTACAGCACCCGAAAGTTTGGTGGTTCGAATCTGTTTAGTCACTCCGTGGGAGAAAGCTGGGTAGTGTCCTCCTGTGAAGATTTCAACCTGATGGAGGGTTTAAAGCTATTTTTAGGATCAATTTGATGACCGTGGGATTTAGTTTTTAGAGTTAGTAAATTCTTCAAATCCTGGTAGCGCCGTTGGAAAACATGTGGGGTCTAAGCAGAAGGTCAGCCATTCAAACCTACCAGCTACTAGACAGAAAAAAGACGTGGTAGTCGGCTCCCATAAAGACTACCGGCTTGGAGGTCCGATGGGGCAGAGCCACACTGAATTTGAGGGCATGGGGTTTTAATTTTGGTTTAGCAAATTCTTGGACTAGAGTGTACTTAGCTGACCTGCTGTGGTGGGAAGAGTGAAAGTGGAGGTTATAAAGGATGAAAAAGGAGAGTGAATTTCAACGTTCCTGCTACTGCATTCGGCAGTCCTGCGAGAGCTGTACCCGCCTTGGCTGACCTGGGCACTCTTTGGTTTGTCATGGCTAAACTTGCATGGCATTTTTTAAAATGTAAGTTTCATTTCTTTCTTTTTTTTTCTTCTTTTCTTTGATTTGCACTCAAAAACCCTGAAGTTCCATCATCTTTGGCTCCCAGCTGGGTCTCTCTGCTCCCTGCTCTTCCTCTTTCAGAGCAGACGTCTTGATTCATCATTGGCTGCTGACCGAGAGCCCCAACAGATGGGTGTGTCCCTGGGAAAAACAGTGACCTGAGTCTCCAACTCACATTCTTTCCATTCCAGCTGAGAGACACTTCCTCAGACTGCTGGAATTCTTATCTCACAGGAAACCAGACACACCAACGTGGCCTAGTCTCCCTGCTGTAAAATTCTGAAGGAATTCTTGGTCCATTCCCTGAACCAGTCCTCACACCTGTACTCCGGCCTCCCTCCATCTGCCTGTCTGCCAGTGGCACCTTCTTTAGGTGAGCATGAAATATGCCTGAAAGTTATCACTTTGTTCTGGAGGTGCTGAAATGGTGAATTTCAGCACACGAGTCTCCAAATGGCATCAGGGGATCCCAAAGAACAAAAGAAGGGCATCAGGGATCCCACAGTGGCACTATCAGGTCATTTCTTCTCCAGTTCCTGTGCAATGGACAAGACCATTTCTAGCAAGTCCCACTGGAGGTACCTCCTTCCGTTATGATGGTGGAAAGGCTCTGAGTCAAACTGGAGACAAAGAGGGAAGATGTGCCAAACTGACAGCTAAGGTGAAGAGGTGGAAAGGGAAGTGGAATGCCCTGTCACCTGTGGGAGGCCTCAGGGTGAAGCAGGTGATGAGAGGGTGGGTTCTCCCCCAAAGCTCTGGAATCTCACACACCCAGCGAACATTGTCTCTGCCCATCAAGTGATCAGAGGTGTTAAATTGGAGCTCTCTTCAGTGGTTCTTTCTCCATCGGGTGACCTCTTCTTTTTTCGACCACCTGGAAAACGATTTGTAAGGGTCAATTTGTAAGCTGGGGAGGACAATCACATCCTCCCCGTTGGCCCAAGCTTGTCTCAAAATAGAAACAGAAATGGAGACAGAGCCCTGGACAGTTGGACTGGGATTAATCTTATGGAACCCACTTTCATGTGATTTTAAAGGGTTAGGTAGCACCTTCCACCTGAGAGGACATCTCTGAAAAGCCACAAACCTATGCCAGTGCCAGTGGAGATACCATTCCAGGAGGGTACGGGGTAAATTCCACGTAATGTAGTGGGAAAGAATCCCGGTGGTGCAATGGTTAAAACGAAAAGTCTTTAGATGCGGAGAGGCTGGTGATTCATACTCATTAGGGGTTCCCCGGTGGTGGCTGAAAGACGGGTAATCTCTCGTGTGATGCACTACCTCAGAAAATTCTCTGGAGAGTCAGCTATGAATCGGTTCTGACCTGAAAGTACTCAACAACAGCAACGACAGTGGCTCCACGGGGGAGAAGGCCTGGTGTCTACTCCCAGACAGACTGTTGGCTAGGAAACCTTATGGACAGTTCTACTGCCCTCTAAGAAGTCATTATGACTTAGAATAACTCAATAGCACACAACCGCAATATAATGGGACTATAGCCTCCCCATCCCCTGAAAGTTTCAGCCCTAAGGCTCAGGCTCACAAAACACCTCTGAGAAGTGACTGGTGACACAGCCAGGCTGTGAGGTGCCAGGAGCCAGCGCTGGCAGGTATGACTGGGCGCCATTCTCATTAACCTACATTCTCTAGCTTTACAGCCATTGCCCTTCTGCGTTAGGGAAGAACCAAAAATCCCACCAGCTGCTGCTAGCCAGATGTTTTCAAACGATAATGACCCCATGTGTTGCAGAACAGAACTGTGCTCTGCAGGATTTTGAAGAACATGACCTTCAGAACATGACCAGGTCTTTCTTCCAAGGCACCACTAGATGGGTTTGAACCACTAACCTTTCAGTGCTTAACTAGCTGTCCCACCCAGGGATTAGTATTAGACTCTCTCTCATTTCCATCAAGTCAGAACTGACTCAAAGCTGACGCTCCAGCTGGTTATGAGAAACTAGAAACCACGTGGGGAGAGCCTGCCCAACTTTCTCCTAAGGAGGGGCTGGTGGGTTGGACCTGCCTGCCTTCGGGCTGGCAGTGCAACCCCTTACCAACTAGGCTACCAGGGCTCCGTAAGTATTAGAAGACCTGAAAAACTAAACCCACTGCCACGGAATCACTTCCAACTCATAACAGCCCTGAACAGCAGAGCAGAAGTGCCCCATGGGGTTACCAAAGCTATACTCTTTACAGAAGCAGATTGCCTCACCTGCTTGGCTGGAGGGTTCACAGCACTGACCTGTCAGTCAGCAGTCGAGTGCTCCTCTAATACTAAGAAACACACTAGCGCTCCTTATTACTAGATAAGGGAGGGGCCATTAAAGAATCACCTTCACGGATGGGCCAGCAACCTGTTCCCAGTTTTGTTTGTAGGAAGTTTTCACCTTGTTTTGCCACTGACTTCCATTGTTGGAGGACGCTGCTTTCTTTTCTACTAAGTTTCCTAGGCTAGGAATCCAAAGACCTTTTCTTGGCGAGCTCTGGTGGCCTAGTGGCAAGAAGCTGCAGTGCAATCTCAGAGGTACATGGTTTGAATCCACCAGATGCTCTGCTTGAGAAGGAGGAACAATCTCCTCCTGTACCTGTCAGATCTGATTTGATGATACACACAAAAATATAATGAAATAAAATAAAATTAAAAAAAAAAAAAACAAAGACCTTTTCTTTAAAGGGACAGGTAGTAAAACTTACAGGTGTAGCAAGCCGTATGGTCTCTTCCACTACTACTCAACTCTGTCACTGTGACAACAGGTCAAAGTCAAAATACAAAGTCATGGCCATTAAGTCAGACCTGACTCACAGATGACCCGCTGGCAGGTTTCCGAGGCTGTAAATTAACCGCACTGCAGGAGACTGCTTATCTTTCTCCTGCAGAACTTGTGGGGGATTCAAACAGCCAACGGCTCACTTGTGGGTTAGCAGCGCAACTCCCCACAGACTATGCCACCAGGACACCCTGTGACTATAGAGAATAGATTCTGGAGTCAATAAGCCTTTATTGAAAAAGAAAAAAAAACACAAAACACCCAACAATAAAACAAACAAACCCCAAAAAAACAACCAACCAAACAACTAAGGAAGTTGGGATCTGGAGATACAGGTAGGGTGGGACCTGCAGGGATAGCCAGCCTATCCCTATCCTAGATGACCACCAACCAAATGGGACCGATTCCCTAAGTATCCAGGATACTATCCTGGCTCAAACCATAGTACAGATTTTCATGATTATACCTGCTTATTGTTAGGTACCGTTAAGTTAATTTTGACTCAAATGACAGAACAGAGTTGCCCCAGAGGGTTTTCTAGGCTGTAATCTTTATGAACTCACTAGCTGCTCCGTTGGAAAAAAAGATGGACAATGTCCTCCCATGTGACTGACTGCCTTTGAAACACCAATGGAGGGTCAGCTTTGAGTCAGTTCTGACTCGATGGCACCCAACAACAAAAACCACCACCATCACCCTTGTAGGAGCAGACTGCCAGGTCTTTTTCTCTCATAGCAGGCAGCTGTCCAACCCCTGCACTCCCAGGCCTTCTTTCCAGAGTCTCCCTAAAAGGAGTCAATGGTTTCCCCTCTGCCACTGGGAAGCTTGGATGTGGAGGAGGAGTTACTCACTCAAGGTTCTCAGCAGCTTCTTGCCCATATTGTCTTCAGTGTCACTACTGCAGGGACTGGTCTCTGTGTCCATGTTGACATTACAACATTCACTATCTGATGCTATTGAGAAGAAAGAAAAAGAGATTTTTCTCCAACCCACACATCCAAAGATTGAGGGAGTAGATATTTGTTAGCAAGTGTATGCTGCGATCCAGTGTTGAGTCAGCTGTGGCCATGAGAGGGGTGAGAATGCCCGGGGAGGTTTTGGCCTCATGAATTAGCAAGAGGCAGGTTAGTGCCACAATAGGAACAGACAGATGGAAGGCAGGAGACGGGATCTGACTACCCACGCACCGTCGGAGACCACTCCCGCTTCTCAAACACTGCTTGGCACGGGAAAGGGGGAAAGAACAATATGTTTTCCACCCCATATTCTTGGCAGACAAAAAACCACACTTGAGCACAGGTGGCAGTACCTCTTTTCTCTGTTTGTGCAGACTCTGGAAAATCACAGGGTTCAATGGTGATTAAGCACATGCCCTTGTCTTCTCTTACATAACTCTGTGGCAACCCAGTGAACCATAGAATTATAGAGCTGGGAAGGGGTTCAAGTCTCTATTGGCAATGCAGTAAGCACCTAACCAGAGGGACAGAGTAGAGTGTGTGGTGGAAATGGCACGGCACCAAGAGCCTGAGTTTGAACCCAACTCTGCTTCTGAAGACGTCTATACCCGTGGGCATATCCTTTCTGATCTCCAGATCTTGAGGTACACTGCCCCATCTCTTCCTCTGATAGATTTCCTGGCTTCTCACTTTACCTATTCAAGTCAGTGTTGGTGGGTGAAAAAGAACATCATCTCCCAAGTTCAAATGCTGCAACGGTGTCTATCGGAGTCTCAGATTTTCTGAGTCAGCCCCAAGTTCAAACATATTTCAATGACCTCAAAAAAATATATCAGTATCTGTCAGCTTCTGGGCTTAAACTATGAGCAGAGGTAGGTCTGGAAGGTAGAGTTGGAAAACAGCTGGCCTAGGGGGTAGGTGTAGGGTCTGCTGAAAAGCTGGAAACTATATCTCAGTAGGCCAAGCACTGAAGGATCCCAGGATTTGTGGCGTGCTGGGAGCTTGGAGCAACAGTCAAGATGCATTCAATGCCTCAGTGACCTCAAGACAGGCCCCACAGACTATTAATGGTCTCTGAGGCTCAAAGGACAGAACAGTAACTGCTCTCAGTTTTCTTACCCGTAAAATGGGTCTAATGATACCTATCTCCCTGGAGACTAAGGTGCGTCTGATACAGGCCATGGTCTTCGCAATCACTTGTTATGCATCAGAGAGTTGGACAATGACCAAGGAGGATAGAAGGAGAATTGATGCCTTTGAGCTGTGGTGCTGGAGAAGAGTACTGAGAATACCATGGACTGCTAGGAAAACAAACAGATTTGTCCTGGAAAGGGTTAAACCGGGTGGTTCCTTGGAGGCAAGGATTCTGAGGCTCCGTCTAGCATATTTTGGACATGTTGTGAGGAGAGACTGGTCCTTGGAGAAGGACATCATGCTTGGGAGGGTGGAGGGACAGCGCAGGAGAGGAAGGCCCTCTATGAGGTGGATTGATTCAGTGACTGGGATAATCGGGATGGGAGTGTCAGAGACAGTGCGATTGGCCCAGGACAGAGCAGAGTTTAGGGCTGTTGTACATAGGGTCACTCGACGGCACATAACAACAACAGTGCTAAGTAGCAGCTCTTTAAAGATGTGAACGTTATACATCTAATGTGTACAGAATATTGGTTCATAAGGTAGGTACTATGATTGTTATCGGCAAGGAAACGGAATTTCAGGTTAAGCAACTTGCTTAGTATTGCAGAAGTTATAAATGAAATTGCCAGGATCTGACTCCAAGCAGGAACCTAGGTCCAGACACTGGTTTCCCCCTGCCTTCCTGGGAGAATGGATTAAAATTGGACCTTGTTCAGTAAAGTCTGGTTTCTCTTCCCCGGCTGTGGAAGGAAGATGGGAGCTGTCTACAGTGCTCTGGTCCCAGGATTCCCTCCACCGAGCTCTCCCTGGGTCATCCCAGTGTCCAAGGTTGGACTCCCTTTTACTCCCCTGGAGAGTCTGCCCTCTCTGACCTGCTTCTGCTGGCCCAGCTGCAGGAGACAGTGAGAGCCGCTGTGCTCCATGCTCCTCGAAGGCAGCCATCTCTTCCTGGCTGAAGGCTATCTCCTCCATCCGCAGGTACACAACCTCACTGGGGCTTCTCAGCCCGTCCGAGCGGCTGCCTGGGGACGACAGCGAGCACATCAGCTCTCAGTGCTGGAGAAAACCCAGGCTTCCCCAAGACGTAAGAGGGCAGGACCCCCACCCAACTGACTTACACGTCAGGCTGTGCCTGTCATTCAGGAGAGTGATGGCAGGCTCATCCTTGGGAGTCTGGGGTGTGCCTCGGGTCAATGGGGCCTTGGTGGAGTCCTCGACAGCAAAGGCCTCCATGTCAGGGGACTGGGGCGAGCTGTCCATGTGACAGGCGGTGAGTGCGTTCTGGTACTGCTGCCTTGTGATCTGGAAGAAAAGGGGGCAGGGAGGGACAGGCACTCAGAATGTGCTAAAATCTATTCATGAAGGGTGAATCCTCTGGCATTTGACATATTGATGGCAAAGCTTTCACAGCACCCATAAGTTACCTCAGTACAGCAAACTGACAGACAAATGCTGTATTAATTAGAACTATAGCTACAAAGTAATGAGCGATATAAAAATATGGAACATTCTACAAATCTGCATGTTGTCCATGCACAGGGAAAAGATGGTCAATATTTATACACTGGATGTAGAAAACGGGTTTGAAATTGACTTGGTATCTTACTCTTTCAATAGTAGCCACTTATAGTAGCCACTTTAGTAAACTGTTAAATTCTCAGTACCAGCTCTTCAAGCTCTTTTTTCTCCACTGACTTGGATGATTCCATGCCTGGCCTCTCTGGGAATCTGTGGTGGTGGTCAAATCCTAGATGACCTTGAGTTGATCCTACATGAAGCCTACACAGGATCCAACATTCTATATTACTTACCTTAGAGGCTCACTCCTTATCACCTCTTCTCATAATTCGGCCTTCCCCATCCACCAGACTTCCTGGTTTCCCTCCCTTCCCTTTTGTGTAGCCTGTAGCTCTGGGTTTTATTATTAACTGGGTGAGTTACTTTTTTTCTTTTCTTTATTGTTCCATAATGCTTTCTTCAATTCCTAGATCCCACGGTGGCCCTCCAATTATTCCTAAATATCTTAAAACTACCAAAGTAAAAAGATCTTGACAAAACCTTGTCTTGAGAATTATTTAGCATTTATCTTGAATATTAAGCTGCAACTTCCACAAATATTTAACCTCAACAGCCATTCAGGCAAAATTTTTCTTTATAAAAGAAAATCTAAGCGGCAAAATGCTGCACTGCAATCCCAGAGGTACGCTGTTTGAATCCACCAGATGCTCTGCTGGAGAAGAAGGGGCAATCTCCCCCTGTACCAGTGAGATCTGATTTGACAGCACACACACACAAAATAATAAAATTTAAAAAGAAAATCTATTTTCCTTCAAGTTGTACACCCACTGTATGTTGTCTTATGTACTTTGGAAATGCTGTCAGAATGGGCCAGTTTCTAGAAAAGGACATTTTACTTAGGAAAGTGTAGAGTCAGAAGGGGAAGATCCTCACACAGTGAGTGCAACAGTGGCCTTAAGTATAGCAGAGGTCTTGAGAATGATGCAAGAGCTGATTTTGGGCACCTAACAACAATATGATGTTAGGAGCTAGACCGGAGGCAGCTATGTAATGACACAATCACCCATGATGTGAGCTGAGATACGATCAGCCAATAAACTGTAGGGGATTAGGGTGGGAGGCCTCACTCTTACCTAGGCCAGCCTTGATCTGCTATAAAGGTATTTTCCCTGAGGTGTAGCCTGCATCATTTTTCATCTTACAAGACATAAAAGGAGACACATGAGCAGAGAAGGGGACCTTAGTGCTACCAAGAAAGAGCCAGGAGTGAAACGTGTCCTTTGGAGTCAGGGTCCCTTCATGGTGATCTTCCTAGGAGAGGACTGATGGCAAGACATATGGAGACTTCCAAGAAATGCTGAGCCTAGACACTGAAGGGCGAGAAGGACCTTCCTCCAGAACCAACAGTGAGAGAAAGCCTTACCCTAGAGCTAACAACCTGGATTCAGACTTCAAGCTTCCTAACCTGTAGAGAATAAATGTCTATTTATTAATCTATTTATTGCATTTCTATTACAGCAGCAGGCATTAAGGAAATGGAATAGGGCTCCTCATAAGCTATAAGTGCCCTGTCTCGTTGAAGGCTTTCACATAGAAGTTAAACAACTATTTTTTTTCAGGGATGCTATAGAGATGGTTCAGATAAAGCCGGGGTTTGTTAGTGAAAACATGCACTACCACATATGTGGGTGTATGTGTGTGCACGCACACATGTGAACGTATGTCTCTTCGTCGTCACATGGGTAGGAGGGACGCTCATTTGCCCAGGTGTGGATGTAGGGTCCAGAGGTTGAGGGAGGGTCTATAACTACTGGTGGGTAGTTGTATAAAAGGAAAGGATCCTGGGAGCTCTGGTAGTCTAGTGGCAAGGAGCTGTGTTGCTATCCTGAAGGCGTGCAGTTCAAATCCACCAGATGCTCTGCTGGAGAAGGAGGGGCCATCTTCTCCTTTGCCAGTTGGATCCGATCCGATGGTACACCATAAGAAAAAAAAAAGTATCCACACATTGCTTATCTTCTTTGTGCATCTCAAAGCCTTGTTCTCATACAGCTTCTTCCAATTTTTTAAACTATAAACAAATATTAGGCCACTGTGTTGCCTTTAAAGAAATTGTTGACAAAGCACCACATTGGCAAAACGTACTATTCACAGAAACAATCTTTGCCTTGATTCCTCCAGCTGTCATTTCCAGACTCAAGCATCAGTTTTCATCTGTTCCTCCCCTTGTTCAACAGCCTATGACAACTTCTAACTAGCATCAATATTAACAATCTAACTAGCATCAATATGATATAAATCACACAGGTACTAAAATTTTTTTTTAGTAGCCACATTCAGCAAAAGTAAAAAATGTCTGTTTACAGGTGTTCCCTAGCATGAAATTCACTTAATTTCCATCTTATTCATTTCCAATTCTTCAAGTTTCAGTGTATTCTCCAATCAAGAGAGCCCAACATAAGTGCAATTGAATTACATAATCAATTAAGATACTACCCTGAATTTATCACTGTCATTTACCTTATGTTTCTTTTCCCTAACTAGGTTTTAATCTATTTTTTTGTTAGCACTAATAAATGCCATATTTAATACATATTATCAAGAACCATTGTTATGTTCTATAAATACTTACTGACTGGTTGGCTGAAGGGAGCAACCTGATGTCTAAAAGACAGTATGCTTCTATTCTCTGTTCAGTTATGACAGACCATTTTCAAAGAATAGCTTGAGTTCAAATTGTTTTATGCTTTGGCCATTTTAAAATTCAAATACTCTTTAAACCATAAAAATCAAGGTCTCTTTATCTTGAAGCTAACAAAAAGTAAGAGTATCTCTTTGGATATTTTGTCTTATCATCAAGGTATCCAGAATTTAACCTTTCGGCCAATATGATGTCTCTTGTCACTTTATGATGTTCTGTTTACATTTTCAACTTTTAAGTAGTTTATTCATACCTCAAAACACAATCCTGCAATTTAAGGGTTCTGCCACCAGATGGTGATAAGGCATTTTGGTCAAGATAGAAGTTCAAAGCCATAATTTACATCCTCCTAAATCATTTACCAAATGCTGTCGTCATTAGGTGTCATCCAGTTGAGTACGACTCATAGCAACCCTATGAACAATAGATCTGAACTCTGTCCTATCCTGTACCATCCTCACAATCTCTGACATACTTGAGTCCATTGCAGCAATCACTGTGTCAATCCATATGCATAAAGATCTTCCTCTCTTTCACTGACCATCTACCTTTCCAAACATTATGCCCCTCTCCAAGGAATAGCCTCTCCCAGCAACATGCTCAAAATATGTAAGACTAAGCTTTGTCATCCTTGCCTCCAGGAAGTACTCTGGCTTCACTTTCTCTAAGACCTTTTTGTTCTTCTGGAAGTCTATGGGATATTCAGTACTCTTCTCCATCACCACAACTCAAAGGCATCAAAAATTCTTCTGTCATCCTTATTCATTATCTAGCTCTCAGCAGCAAAGCAAGTGATTGAAAAGGCTATGACCTGAATCAAGTGCACATTAGTCTTCAAACGGACATCATTACTCCTCCATAATTTAGAGACATTCCTGACTGTAGACTTGTGCAATGCAGTAAGTCTCCTGATCTCCTGACTGCTGGTACCAAGGGTGTTGATTGTGGATCTAAGTAAGATGAAGTCATTGACAATTTCACTCTTTTCTCCATCTATCATGATGTGTGGTGAGTTTTTGTTTTCTTGACATTGAGATGTATTCAATATGGAAGCCTATAGTTTATTTTCTGTAGCAAGAAGTTCAAGTCCTTCTTCAGCAAGCAACGTTGTGTCATCTGCATAACACAGGCTGTTGATGAATCTTCCCCTGATCCTGTGCCACATTCTTCACAGAGTTCAGCTTCATAAATTATTTACTTAGCAGAAAGATAGAAAAGGTATGGAGAGCTGATACAATCCTGATGCACACTTTCCCTGATTTTAAACTATGTAGTGTTCCCTTTTGGAAAGAGTGGCATCCACTTCTTAAATAACATGCCTCCAGAAACCCTATGAACTTTGATAAAGGCCGAGAGTTTTAGAGGGACTTCAAACCTTTTGTTCTTAGGATCTCTATGAGTCGTGCTCGACTTGAAGGCAATCATCATCAACAACAACAACAGTGTCCCTTGCTATATTTGTACAATAGCCTCTTGGTTTAGGTATAGGTTTCCATGAGCACAATTAAATGTTCTGGGAGTCCCATTGTTCTCAATATTAGCTATAATGTGTTATGATCCACACAGTCAAATGCCTTTGCATAATCAACAAAGTGCAAATAGACATTCTCTGTTCTCCAAATTTTCTGGGACAGACTGATGAGCATGTTCAGGATTAACATCTATTAACAGAAACTAGTTGGTAAAAGGCTCTTGATCATACGGACCTTATCTCAGTGTTGGCTGTTTCTTTTCAGCACAGTGATTCTGTGCAGTCCCTCCATCTTCTTTTGATGCTCTTAGTTTAATAAAGATATTTATAGAATGTTTCAAGAATAACATTTATAAGGCTCTTTGTACTTTGTAAATTATTTTTACCCATTTTTAATTACTGTTCTGTTTTATACCTTTTCCAAATAATCACTGAACACAATTTCCCATTTCATTTATGAAGCTCTAGTCGTATAGTCCATTGCAAGTTTTACTACTAACCCAAAGACATCAAGTATCTGGTAGGAGAAGCAGGATGGGAAGTCTCCTCCTGTTGTGATTTATAGTCAGAACCAACTCACCAACAATAGCAGGAAGTGAGTTACCATTCTGTAACTTATCTACAAGAGTCAAATTAAGTCAAACGGTCTGGATGAAAGAAATAATCCAGTTTTTAAGAGACTGAAATACATTGTTTTAAAACGTTTATTGACACTGTTTTAATCAGCCTCTATTTGCTCCTAAAATTCTTCTACTCAGTCTTAGGGAGTTCTGGTGGCTTAGTGGTAATAAGCTGCACTACAATCCCAGAGGTACGCGGTTTGAATCCACCAAATGCTCCGCTGGAAAAGGAGGGACAGTCTCCTCCTGTTAGATTTGACTTGACGGTACACACACAAAATAAAATAAAAATTAAAAAAAAACCCAAAAAACAAAACACAAACCTCAGCCTTTGCAATTTTAAAATTTCAAAATGGAAAAAGGTCCATGTGCTGTGCTGCAAAGGTCAGATAAGGCTCTTTGTTCTGACCCAAGGACAGATTATCTGTTCCTCAGAACTATCCGTGGATATGGGGATCTCAAGTCAGGAATCGTTCCTTCTTATTTGGAGAATGTTCTTTTTCTTATGTTCTAGTGGCCGAGAAATGAGGTTATCTCTACATCTTTAGAAAATCATTATATAGGGAGCTCTGGTGGCCTAGTGGCAAAAAACTGCACTGCAAATTTCAGAGGTACATGGTTCTAATTCACCAGATGCTCTGCTGGAGAAGGAGGAGCCATCTCCTCCTGTACCAGTCAGATCTGATTTGACAGTACACACACACAAAGTAATTTTTTTTTTTTAAAAAAGAAAATCATTACAGGCTTAGTGCTAAATATTCCTCTTAATAAAGTCCTTTTCAAAGAGCTGCCGAACCCATCTCTCCTTTCAATCCACACAAACTTCATCATGTTTTAGAGAACTGACTCACCCATCACTCATTAAATGTCTCTCCTCAAAATGACATTTTCCCTCCATGGCAGCATGTTAAAACCTACATATTGATTTTCCGAACTTAAGATATAAATGGAAAGACCTGAGAAACAAATTCAACAAAAATTCCCAAAGCACTTAAAATGGAATCTCAACACTTTGCTATGGCCTCAAGGTCCCTCGTGACATAGTACTGCTGACACTTCATCCTCATCTCCCTCAGCGTCCACTCATGCACTGTGTTCCAGCACCCAAAGCTCTTTCCAATCTCTGTTGATTCTCTTGAGCACTTCCCCAAATGTTCCCTTTGAAGTCTCAGCAGAAATATTCCCTTCTCAGCCTTCTCTGAAAACCCTCTCTAAAGCAGCCTTGCCTCCCCAATCACTGCTTATCCCGTTTCTTTCAAAGCTATCCTCACTAACTAGACTTACCTATGTTATTTATGTGATGACTGGTTTATTCCCCCTCCCTGTGCCTATTAATATGTAAGTTCCAGAAAGGATGGAGTTTGCTCTCTTGTTCCCTGCAGTATCCTCAGTATCTTGATGGTACCAAGCACAGAGTAAACATTCAGGAAATATTTGTTGAATGGCTTACCCAGAATTATGGGCTTAAGCGCTTTTCTGAAGTTTAACTGCATTACCATATTATACTTGTTAAATGTTTATGGTCATATGCATATGTATTATCCAGTTTGTTTTTTAAAGCTTGTGATCTATCTATCTATCTATCTATCTATCTATCTATCTATCTATCTATATTCTTTTTCATCATTATCTATCTATCGTCTATTTTTAATGTACTTGGCAAAAAAATTATTTTTTATTTATTTTGTTTTTGTTCCCCTCTTCCTTGATCCTCATTTCTGTTAACCCCTCAAGATTCTATGCCTTCAGGATTTCTTGCCTTTTCAACATAAGTGGACTCATATCATAAATGTCTTCTGTGACTGACATATGTCACCCAGTGTAATTTGTTCACTTAGTTTATAAAGTCATTTCCCTTTGGATTTCTAAGCTCTGATTGTCAGAAATTCCTCCTAAAAAGCATTGGTTTTAGGCCAAGGGCCTCAGAGATAGAGAGACCTACATTAGAATCTTGGCTCTGCCACTTACTAGCCATGGGTTCTTGGACAAGTGTTTGCACTCAAGCCTCAGCCTCCTCCTCTATGGGAATGATGGTGGTGCCTAATTCACAGAGCGACTGTGGGATAAAATGGGTCTTTTGGGTAACAGGCTCAATAAAGGGCCTCGCTACACCAGCAGGAACTATTACCCTCCTTCTCCTCCCTCCTCAACTCTGTAACTTGGCATGGTTATTTTTATCAGTTGATGTCAGTTTTAGCTCAGGGTGACCTCAGGGTTCTGGAACACAGGAAGCCAGCCAGCATACAGAGCTCTTCAAATAATCAGAGTGTGTGCTCTGGACAGAAGAAAAGGCCTTCTCCCATTAAAAAATTTTTTTTATTTTTTATTTCATCTCTCATTAGCTGGCCTGCTGCAGGAACAATAGTTTCCAAGAAAAGTCTTTGGATGCTTTGCTGCTCTCAGGTTAAAGCTTATAATGATTGTGCAGCATTATCGAAAAAACGGAAAAAAACAAGCCTATCAAAGTGAGAGGAAGCGGGGTTTAAAAAGGCTTCTGTGCAATGGCAATCTCAGTGAGGAGACAGCTCCCCTCCTCTTTAATTACAGAGCAGTGAGCCTACTGCCTCTCTCCCTGGGATCTGCAGAGTGGGTCTCTCCATACAGCTCCATGAAGCTGATGGGTTGTTAATAATGCTAGCAAGGAATTCCAGTGAACACACAGGATAGAGTGTCTTTAAACTTTAAATATTGAAGTGTAAAATCACAATAGCATACATAAAACCTGTAAATTTTTGGCAAAGAAAAACTGAAAATTAAAAAAAAAAAATCAACCTGGTGCCAACAGTGCGGGATCCAAAGGAAAATAGCTCTGCCAGCAACTTATTGTGGGCAGGCTAATTTCCTGTATATTTGTGCCTTAGTTACCCCACATGAAAAATGCGGATCTAAAAGAATAACAGGTATTGAGTGCTAACAGAGTTCATGGCAAACAAGGTCCTTATAAAGCTAGTACGCAATTACCTCCCAGCATTATCCTGGAACATGAGGGAAAGAAATGATCATTATGCCCAGGTGTGGACATCTCCTGTCCCTCTCATGCCAGCCAACTCTATTCACAAGGAGACTGGGGTGCGCCCGTGGCGGGAGTTACCTTCACAAACTGCACATCACTGAGGATGTGGACCGAGTAGTCGGGCGTGTAGAGGTTGTTGCTGCCGCTGTACAGCTGGGTGTTACTCCCTCCAAAGTCACTGCGCTCGCGGTTCGGAGACTCACAGCGATTCAGTCCGCTGCAGCGAGAAGGGGATCTGTTTACTGCAGATGGTGAGGGCAAAGCAGAGGGAGAGGAGAAGAAGAAAAGATAAGGAGGGGAGGAAGGAAAGGAGGATGGAGAGGGAGAGAGAGAGATGCAATGTTTACTCATTTCCCACTGGACTTTCAGGCTTAGATGCTTAGAGGGCCCCCTTGCCCTTCCCATTAGAGTTGTGGAAGGAGCATGGCTGGCTTCTTTGACATTTATTTCCCCAAGCGAATATCTAAGACCAGATCCCAAGGCATCACTCTTCTCAGACTCCCGCTTCCTCCCAAACCTCAGAAGATACAGGGGTGGCCCATGCCTTTCTTGGTTCTGCTCTTCAGATTAGGTGGAGGAAGACACCCCAACTGAAATGAGAATAATGCTCTAAGTGTGGTCGGCTACCTCAGACCATAAATAAGGCTTTCTACCTTTCACAATCTTATTTTTAAAAGGCTAAACCTTTTATTAGGGAGCTCTGGTGGCTTAGTGGCAAGAAGCTGCACCGCACATGGTTCGAGGCCACCAGCTGCTCCGCATGAGAAGGATGGGCAATCTCTTCTCATGTGATTAACTGCCTCTGAAAACCAGCTGGAGGGTCAGGTGTGGGTCAGTTCCGACGCTATGGTTGTCAACAACAAGGAGCCTTATGTTAGCCCTCAGAATCATTCCTCACAGCACAAGTTAACAGTCCTCGCCACGGTGACGTATTTTGTCCTGCTCCAACAACTGCAGGGCTCTGGGCCTGTACACAAATGGAAGCCCACGTATAGATAAGTACTTAAGAAATGATAAAAAGATATTACTAAATTATTAAAAACCATTCTAGTTCTAGTTTTGTCCTTGACAAATATATCATTGCAATAATCTGGAAAGCCAGGTGTGACTCAGACCCATTTGCACTTTATCTAGAAAACCTGGCAGCACGGGGAGAATCAGCTCCTGGCCCTTGGAACTGTCTGGGTAGGGAATTCTAGGATCTGAAATGAGATCTAGACGGCTCTGGGTGAACACATCTCTGACCTTGTGGATTCCTGGAGAAGGGCTTGACTCGGGGGGGGGGTGTCAAAGTGAGGGCCTCTGACGTGGGGGCCAAACTCCGGGACTCCTCTTGCTTAGACCTCAGCCAGGAACTTGAACAATCTACAGGCCATCTGTTGAATGCCTTCTCTACATCCAGAGTCAGGCTACTTTTTATCTTTTCATTTTCATGGATCCATTTTAAGTGAAGAAATAATTTCGGGAGAAGTTCAATCAAGACCATGCCCGTTTAGTTTCCAAATGAACTTTGTGAAGGATCAATAGAGAAGAGGGTGTTAGGGAGACCTGAGCATTAGCTCAACCACAGAGTAACCTGAATAAACTGCAGTCTCCTGCCACTCCACCTTCCATCTGATCCCACTCTGCATTTTTTCCCCACAAAGAGGCACAAGATGCAGTTTGCCTGTCCTAGTATGGACTTAATTCAGGGGAGGCAAATAAAGAACTGGATTCTTCATAGAGTCTGGCCTCAGTTCTTTCAGGGTAGAACTTTGGAAATTTCATTCTGTCTCTTGAAATATTTCAATCAATTTTAAAATCAAGCAATTTTTTAATTGAAATATCTCAATTAAATCTCCTGTCATCAATCAAAATATGAGATCAACATCTGTCTGGAATGGGGCACCCGAAACTGACAATCTCTTTTGCTGCCAAACTATCATTGTTGTCTAACAGATCATACTGCCAAAAGATTAAAATAACAATAGGTTGACTAATTTTCTCATTAGAACCATAATAACCACCACCTCAATGTGATTAATGGATTAAGGTTTTCTTCCTCTATAAATGTCACTCACACCCTATTCCTCAATCCAGAAACCAGGGAGTCCCTTGACTCCTGATGTTTTCTCAGACTCATATCACGTCCTGTTATCTTCACTTCCAATATATTAAATACATTTGCTTCTATCTCTATCTCCACACTCCACTCTTGCTCCCCTTATAATCTGTTCACAACTCAGCTGCCAGGATCCTACTGCCTTTGACGAAAATCCAAACTCCTTGCTGTAGCCTTGAATGCCATCCGCAACCTGGCTTTGTCGTCCTGTCTGATCTCATTCTGGCTCTTCCACTTCCCTCCCCTATGTTGCTCTAATCCATAGCCTCCTTGCGGATCTTCAACCATGCAATCTTCCCCCACCCCTTCAGTGCCATTTCCTCTGTTCCTCACCCACCCCCTCACACAGCTGCTTAATTCTCTGTTCTGAGGGCTCACTTCTCCGAAGTCTGTGTCTGGTGTCCCTAAAAAGGCTCCTTCACACCTTCTTCTCTCCCTGTCCTTTGGTCATTCCTTCAAAGTTCTTTCCACAAGTTTTAATTAATTACAGGTTTTCTTCCCAATTTAACCATAAATTCTATGAAGGGAGAGATCCTGTCTTTTCTAGTTACCACTAAAGGCTGGACAGGAAATAGAGAACAAGTGGGTCCTTTATGCAGAATCTAAATTTTGGTAAAAAGGAGGGTTCAGAGCTCTCAAATCGTATTAGAATTAGAAAGCCCTTATCAGTGGCCTAAAGGTATTCTGGGTAAACAACTTCGCCAAGTAGCTCTCAGGTGTGTAGCTAGGAAAATGATAATGTGCAACAAGAATTAAAGAATCAAGAAGCTTTTGACTTTGGCCATTAACTTGAGGAAGAAGCCACCAGAAGAAGGTCTCTAGGATCCTATTCTACTGGGTGATGGAGGACTGGACCCTTCTCCTGAATGACCAAAGATTAAAGAGGGACAGTGGTGATGTCATGAGGAATAGAGTCAGTCTCCAGACAATTGTAAATGGCAGTGTTATTGATAAGGAAAATTTGCAATTCACTTCTGATCCTGGTGCTCATAAAAATTAAATAGGAAGAATATGCTGATATATATATAC